AGTCAATGTTTACTAATGTCTATAAAGGCTAAATTTAAGAAAAACAAAATGCCCTTGAGCGCAGTTTTCCATTGCGAATCTTTCCGGTCACCCTTGATCACCATGGGCAAGGGTGAGGTAGAACACCCATTAGAACACCCCTTAGCAACTACCTACGTGTCAGGGGGTCTCTCGACACAACTCCCATGTCTAAATTGTGTTGATGCCAGAAGCCTTTACTAAAGGGTACACAACAGCTTCCCAAAGTTTCATTGCGATCTGTTCAATGGCGTAATAATAAAAGACAAACATAGAAACAAACATAAATTCATATATCAACAGCTAGAATATTTCAACGACGAAGTCGGACGAAGTAACAGAAAGCTCCCCCCACCTCTACCGTACTGCCTCCCCTCCCCCATCATCACCCCTCCCTTACCATTTCCACATTGTGAGTCAGTCTCTAAATACATAGCTCTTAAAATTTAGTTTATTCCTCATCACTACCAATGGCATGGAAATAAAATGCTATATATGTACCAATGACATCACATAAAATATTACCAAACATGCAGATAACCGGTATCATCACGTGATGTATTAGTCATGAAAAACATTACAGCAAGAATTATTCATAAGCAACTAGCTTCTATGTCGCAACTTAATTTTAATAAATAATAGGAACATAAATTCCCCCCCCCCCCACTTACTCGTAATCTGAATGAGCTAAGACAACTACCTTTACATACGTCACCCAATCCTACACCCACACATACGTTACATGAGATTACACCCAAAAATCGCTACATGCCATACGAGCATAAAGTAATTCATTCAATCAATATCCGCCACCCCCCGCCATAGTATTGTCCGCTAATCAAAGATCTCCAGTGTCCTCTGTCTTGTCGGTTCCATGTTCTCAAGTTGACTGCATGTGTAACCCTAGCCTACTCCCACGTATTTTACATGTTACCACTGAATACACTGAACCACTTTTAGGTGTCACCCGGTCCTACAACAGTGTTTCTGTATGGCATCTCTACATGGTGCACTGCCCCCCCCCCCCCCTCCCAGGGCACTTTGACCGTCCCCACTCTCGGTGGAAATTTTTAAAAATATAATCCATATAGAAATTACATAATTAACTAGTGTCCCCTCCCAACCCCCTCCCTCCCCGGAGAGAAATGCATAAAAGAAACCCTGTCCTACCCACGCGTTTTTAAATTTACCAGATCGTACACCCACACAATTTAAAACAAGTTTTATATTATTCTTATAGATTCTAAAAATCGAAACAATATAAAAAGCCCGCTGGTATTCGCTTAGGCCTACTGAATATTTATGACGCTGTGAAATGACGTCACATATCCTGGTCAGGTTGACTTTTAGATTTTGATCTCCCCCGCCCAACCAAACCGTCACAGCCTTGACATTTACCTCCCTTTACGATAAGGATTATTGCACAAGTCGAAACTAATTCTGGGCGGGGCGGGTGGATTATAAGCATTTAACTTTGAAAATGTGTGCCCCCCCACATACCTTACCTATAAAATCTTATTCTCACATCGACAGGTGAAATTTTTTTTTTTTTTGAAGATGAAATTTTCGTGTGGGAGTTGTTTGTTGGTTAAAGCATGGCCTGGGGAATACCATGTACGGTTTTCTTAAAACAATCGTCGATCTCATCATTGAAAGGCGACACGAACACGCGTTGTCCTGGCTTATAAAAACAATAAGAAAAATTCAATTTAAATGAAAGGTTACTAAAACTATACTTTGATGTGCGAATAATATAACTTAACACAAGAAACTCGGACATTATTTCATTATCGTGTTAATATAAATACACACACACACACACACACACACACACACACACACATATATATATATATATATATATATATATATATATATATATATATATATATATATATCATGCATACATCTTAAAATCTATTTTAGTTTGAATACGTGCTAGTACTTAGTCAATTAACTGCGATGGGTACCTGACCATCTTATACTGAGATACATCCTATGGATAGTTAGGTCCAAAGACGAACTCTACTACCGCCAATAAACTAGTGACTAACAAAATGTCAAGATCCCATTTTCAAATCCGCCCCCCCCCCTCCCTCATTCTTGTCTTGACATTACTTGACAAAATTTGGCAGTCAACGTAAATCCCCCTTGTCGACATTTACCTTAATTGTAATTAGACCTTTTAATGGGCGATTAGCAGATCAATCGAGACTGGTATAAATTGCCCATTACGGTCTTGTACTTACTAATCTCCTTCTATTGTGGATGTGTTTGACTGAAGTAGACACGGTAGTCGGTCTTTAGATTGTGACACCAAAACTATTGCGGACAAAACTATCTAGATATCTGTTCGACTTATTTGAAGTTTGAGAGCGATGACCGTTGTTTTTTTTTTTTTAATCTAAAACAAAAAACGGTTCAACTTATTTGAAGTTTTTGATACAAAGAACGTTGTCTTGCGCTTAAAGAATCGCAAATTCAGCAATTTTAATTTCTGTAGTAGCATAATTCTAATTAGTATTCTAATTAGTATGTTTGAAAATTAGTAAATATTACATCAGGTAGCATCACAAGTCGGTTGGGGGGAGGGGGGTAGTGGACGGTAATGCGTGCATCATCTTAGGAAAAGATACCAAGATTAAGTGTACGTTATATATATTATTTTTTACTGAGGAAATCCTCCTTGTTCTTTTAATTAATTTCTAGATCTACTTCTTAAAGAAGCCAAAATACAATGTGGTACTCGGATGTGTGTTGACACCATAATATTATAACTGGAGGAATGACAAATGCGATTCACAAATCGTAAATCGAATAATTTTTCAGTGCGTAGCGTATTGACCTATGGTAAAATAATTAATTATCTACAGTTAGTGGATGTCCGGAGTCCACTCCTTTAACACTAGGGCTGGATGTATCAGCGAAGACGCCAGGACATCTATCAGTTTGTTCCTGTAGTTACCTGTTGCAGGTGAACTAGGGGACTTTCCTCGCACTCTGACGCTACACTAGTGACTAAATGATAGGCGTGCTACAGTGACTAAATGACATTCATGCTACAGTGACTAAATGACAGTCATGCTACACTACAGTGACTAAATGACAGTCATGCTACAGTGACTAAATGACAGTCATGCTACACTACAGTGACTAAATGACAGTCATGCTACAGTGACTAAATGACAGTCATGCTACACTACAGTGACTAAATGACAGTCATGCTACAGTGACTAAATGACAGTCATGCTACAGTGACTAAATGACAGTCATGCTACACTACAGTGACTAAATGACAATCATGCTACAGTGACTAAATGACAGTCATACTACACTACAGTGACTAAATGACAGTCATGCTACACTACAGTGACTAAATGCTACACTACAGTGACTAAATGACATTAATGCAACACTTCAGTGACTAAACTGCAGTCTGACGCTGGTCTATACAACGTCTGCGCAATGACTGTCGTTTATTTTTTAGACTGCTAGTACCTTTTAGTTTACATACGATACAGGAAACTAAACAATAATTGACGTAAAAATGATGGTGATGGCATACCAGAGGCGTAGTCACCCTTCCCGGCGCCGGGGGACGGTCTTTCGATTTGCACTCCCCCCCCCCCCCCCCCGCTAAAGATTTCGATTTGCACCCCCCCCCCCCCCTCAACATTTTGATTTGCACCACCTTCCTCAAACTTTTGATTTGCAGCCCCCCCTCAAGATTTCGATTTTTCTTTTCCAACCCCATTTTTGGCAACCCCCTAAGGTCGGCGCCCGGTGACATATGTCCCCCCCCCCTGCCCCCCCTCGCTACGCCTCTATGGCATACTGCCTAGATCGCTCTGGCTGGACAGGAGTTAACATTAATTATGAATAAAACTGTAAAAAAAAACTTGTTCTTTTCCATTTTCTAAATTAAACGTCTGGGTTTTTTAAAGAATTTCTGCACCTTTGTAAAGATGTAAACTTTTAAACTCCACCCTCCACAGACCCCCCCCTCCTCCATATATTCTCATCAACTACCTCTATCCCCTTTTAGCATGTTATAGGATTTGTCCCTCAATTCGATTATTATCAAAGTTGATATGTTATTAGTAGTTGTCATAATTCGCCTTGTAAAGTTAAAGAACTGCATGTTGACAAATGTCGGTAGATTTTGCAATAATAGGTAACTTCGCTATAATCGTGTTCAAAACATCCTATATTTCAGCTGTTATCGAGTATCTTAGCTTGAATATTTGTGTGTGTTCCCGTGATTTCGCTTGTAAACTCGCATTATTTTTTGTTTGTTGTAGAGTCGATGTGTTTGCGCGTGTGAGTGCTTGAATGTGTCGACGTTGATTTTCATGTGCATTTACATTTTATTTGTGTTTGTGGGGTGTTTGTTTGTCTGTGTGTATGTTTTTATTTTATTTTTTTAAAATTTGTGTTTGTATACGCTTTTGTACGTCTGCATTTTTTATTTTCGTATTTATTTACGTGTAGATTTCGTATGTTCCTGTGTCTTTTTACGTGCGTGTATGCGTGTTTTTGGTGTGCGTGTATGCGTGTTTTTTGTGTGAGCCTCTGTTAACTACATCAGGCTGACATCACAAACGGTTGTAACGGTTGAAACTGACGTCACTTCGGCGCACGTCAGAGCACGCCCTGCCTCCTTTGATCACTCTACTTCACCACGCCGGCGCAGTCACATCAAAAAGAAAACAATTAAATTAATCTTATTCTGCTTGCAGACCCCCTAATGGTGTTTTTTTCCCCTCCTTTACACACAACTGATGTAACTTAACACACCTGAGTTCGTTCACAGCTCCACTTCTGTAATAGGTTTTTCCCATTTTTTTTTCTTTTAATGTTTCAAAGCAATCAAGACAATATCTTGTACTTTTCCATCATTGTAAATCGGCCGTTTTTTCTACGATTAACTTTAAATCCTAGTAATCCTTTTTTTTTTCTTTTTTTTCATTCCGCTGAATTAGGCCAAAGGATTGGCCCAGCAGAAGCGACAAGAGGCCAAGAGAGCGCCCCGGAAGTCCCGGGCCAAGACTGATGTTGTGACCAGCACCTCCAACCATTTGACGAAACAGGGCCCAGCGGCTCCCCGTAGGTCGTCCTCCGACTCCCCCCTCCCCACTGGTCAACAAGCAAACACTGACGTGTCCGGTCATCAATTTCAATCTAAACGGGCGGTCGTCGTGACAGATCTCTGCGGGAACCAGTTACAGCGCGGTCACGTGACCACCGTCCCCGCCCCCGCCGCCTCCCCGAGAACTCACCAGGACCTGGTTCACAACACAGCCTCACCGAACATCATCATCGTCGACAGCAGCGGACACGTCGTCCAGTCCTCGCAAAAACCCGAACCGGATTCGAACGCGCAGCTGATCACCTTAGTGAGCACAACCCTGAAACCAACCTCACCAGCCACAGTACCGTCAGCATCACACACCGCCGGACAACCAGCATCACCACCGACAACCGCAGCAGCATCGCAGAATGCTGCAGCGTATGAGGTTCTAGTGAAGGAGAATACGTTCTTGAAGAAAGCGCTCTCGGATAAGATTCGATCCCGGATCTCCGCGGAAGAATCGCTCAACGCCATGCCAGCACACAGCCTGCAGTTTTTAACTGACGATGTCCACAGTATTGGACTGGACAGTAAATATTCTCCTCTAGCCGCTATCAAGCAAGAGGATTCTTACTTAGACTACGTCGACCAACAGTACACGTACGACCCCGAGTTAGCCCACACGGTACCGGCATTAAACAACTGTTCTGGAATAACTATAACCTCCTGCTCCAACGTAGCGCAAAATTTAGTCTCCGTTTCCATGGCGACCTGCGACGACGCCAGATCCCAGAATGACACAATGTCCGCCAGTTCCTTACAGCGGTTACACGGCGGGAACCTCGACCACACCTACAGCCCCGAGCACCGCCACCAGCACTACGCCAGCAACCACCAGCTCCACACCGGCGACATCCAGGACGCCATGATCGTCCAGTCGCCCCAGGGTCAGTACCTGCACGTGCTGCAGCCCCTGCAGCAGATGGACGCCCAGGTGACCAGCAGCAACCAAAACAATTACTACTTCTACCAGCGGGGCGCCAACGCCCCCATGCAGGAGGCGGAGAAGCCGGTGACGGTGGAGTACCACCAGCAGTACTACACCAACGGCTACCCCAGCTTTCTGACCGCCGACAGCTACAACATGAAGTCACCAGACAGCGGCTTCTACGAGCCAAGTTTGTCTCCAATCTCTGCCTCCCTTGTAAGTACACAAATGTCAATACGTCATGCTTCCATATTGTAAGTACACAAAAGTTTATACTTAAAACATCCATATTGTAAGTATACAAAAGTTTATACTTCAGACATCCATACTGTAAGTACACAAAAGTCTATACTTCAGACATCCATATTGTAAGTACACAAAAGTTTATACTTAAAACATCCATATTGTAAGTATACAAAAGTTTATACTTCAGACATCCATACTGTAAGTACACAAAAGTGTATACTTCAGACATCCATACTGTAAGTACACAAAAGTTTATACTTCAAACATCCCCCATATTGTAAGTACACAAAAGTCAATACGTCAGGCATCAATAAAATCTCAAGTACTACTGGTAGTGCGTACTAAGCTTTATGGGAATTTAACTATCTTTTTATAGCATTATTAAAGCTAGTGAAGTAACAGTTGGTAGAGTTTACAATGCTATTGAGATCGTTTAAAATGTTTCTTCACAGAAGTTAGGGAAATTAAATGTGGTATATTAAATATATGGGAGGTTGAGAGAGAAATATAATCGTGCACTTGTTCGGGTGTGTGTGTGTGGGGGGGGGGGGGGGGCTATTTGAAGCTGATCTCTCACAGACAGATATGGATAAATTTTTGTGAGCCTTTTTGTAAATATAATTAAACAAACTGAATTACCAACACAGTGGCTAAATAACTGTATCTGCTAAATTCATCAACTTGAATGGTCTACTAGTTAACTTTAATTTTAGCTAATGACTTAATGAGATAAAATTTGATCCGTTATTTTTTTTTTTGAAGAGTAGGCGTAAAGATCTATTACTTTATTACTTGAAAATTCACCGTAGAATTAATGTAAATGGATTAATTTAATTGGATTAATCTTTTAGAATTTAGTTTAGCTTAATGTATTTGCATTTCTGGCACCTTTCGTACTTAACCGTATGTTGAGTATTATTGTATAATGCTGCCAAAGTGTTATATGAAGCTAGTAAATAATAAATGCCGATATGTAAATCAAATAGAGGGTTAAATTATTCAGCAAGTTCTTCAAAATCAGAGAAAAATAGTTTCCATCTGCTGATTTGTTAAATATATACATGGATTTCTCATTAAGTAAACTGATATCTCTGGGGTTCTTTTTTTCTTTTCTTTTTATTTCTGTAGAAATCTATCATTTCATTCCGAAACTAAATATTCTATTTGTTTCGGTACTAACCTTGTTAAAGCATTTTTACAAACTTAAACAAACCTTAAAAAACAACCCATTTAATCAGTGCCCATGCACATATCTAGAAACTGAATATATTTACAATAATCCTTATCGCTTCAACTAGATTTATTTCAGATTTACAACTTAACATTTGTTTCCTCTGTTAATTCTTAGCGAACTTGTATCAGAAATTCTATACTCATATACTCATATCATAGAGTCTAAACTGTGCAAATTTTGCAGTTAGTGTCACCCCCCCCCCCGAGTGATAGCTTTAAATGGTGCAAAGTTAATACTAATATGTATATTGATAAACGGTTATAAACACAGCTAGATGTAGAATTGTTTTCTCTCTAATTAGTAAGTTTACGTCAGTGGTATCACCCCCCTCCCCAACCGCCAGCTTGTCGGGATCTTCAATGTGTACTTAAAATAATTTTTAACTCTAATTAATCATTAATTGATTTGACAAAAAAGCATTTTCTTTTCTAAAAGCTGCACTTTTTTTGTCTTGATGTCACCCCCTAAATTATGTCACCCGGTGCGGTCCGCACCCGCTGCTCCCGCCTCGCGACACCTCTGTCGATGAGGTTTAGAGCCTATCGCTCCATCTTGCATCAGAAAAGATACACCATATCAGGTTCTAGAACCTGTCACTTTATACTACAGGTATCCAAAGACGCCTACCAAACGACAGAGTTAGGCAAGGAGAAGCCGAAGAAGAAGAAGACCCCCGGGGCGTGTCCCGCGGGTGGGGCAGTGTTACTACGTCAGTACTCCAGCTCTGACAAGGCTGCCCCCAGGTCGCCAGCTATAAATAAACTGTGAGTAATATTTAGACGCTTTGTGATTTTTATCTTAAAAATGAAATTTATATATATATATATATATATTTTTCAAGTGATTCACAATTCAGTCTTCTTGGTTTTTAAAATAAATCGATGAAGTTAAGTAAAAGTTCTGCGCTTCATTTTATACTCGAAACACCAATTTTCCTTAAATATAGATGTATGCTAGTTATAAACTTTGAGTTGCCGATTATTTAAATACTGTAAGCGTATTTGTGATTTGATCACAAGTCATGCAATGAGCACGAATCTTATTGGCCTGGAATTAAATTGGGGCCAATTTTTTCTGAGCCCGTTTCTATTCATGTAAAACCAGGTTATGTTACTGGCAGATCGTAACAACATATATCTTACAACTGTATAAAATGTTCATTTAGAATTATTCCTATATGAAAATTATAGATTGGGCTTTGTTAAAGGAAATTACAGCAAACTTGTAATTAAAATTTTAATCGAATTTTAAACAAATGTTCGAAATACGTTTCTATTCTACCAATACTATTCAAAATTAAAACATAGTATAGGTACATAAAAAGACTGTTTAGTTTTATTGTTATTTGATTCAAAGACAACTCTTGCGTCTTAAACAAAGGGAAGCAATTTATAGATGGGAGACAATTAAAGCGAAGGTAAAAAAAAGTAGTGTGAGGGGTCGATGTTGTTAACGAGTCGAGACAAGGAGGTGTCACTCGTGAACATGGTGTTTGGTCGACCTACGTGTGGTGTGGCGTGTGTGTGTGGGTCTGAGTTGGTCTGACAATGTGTCTGCGTGTTTATTAACTGTTTCAGTCTTGTGTCTTTTTACTGGTTGTATGTTTGTGTGATTGCCAGTGCGTATGTTTTAAACAGATGAACTCTGTTTCATCTGTCTATTGACTCGCTAGGTACGAATTAGTACTTTGATTGTTTTTAATGAAGTTTGAATGGGTGTTGGGGATGGTGGGGTTGATTGACTTCAAATATGTGTTTATGAATGTGTTTCTATGGTTTGATTTGTCTGTGTGTTTATTGGTGTGTGTTCGTTTTTAAGAAAAGTGGACTTACAAAAGATAAAGAGAGTCTGGTTCTTATAATTGTGTTCCCCTGTAAATTAGGTGTATAACATATATATACATACATACATATATATATATATATATATATTATATATATATATATATATATATATATATAGAGAGAGAGAGAGAATATATATATATATATATATATATATATATATATATATATATATATATAATATATTCTGTGTGTACGTGTTTTTTTAATACAATTGTATGATTGTGTTGGGGTTATTATCTGTGTGTGTGTGTGTGTGTTTGTTATTATTAAGTTTGCTTAGTGTGAGTTTTGGTATAAGAGTATTAGTGTGTGTTTGTGTATGAGCGAGTGTGTGTTTGAGTGTGTCAGTGTGTGTGTGTGTGAGTGTGTGAGATTATCAGTGTGTAGGTGTGTCTGTGTGGGAGTGAGTGTGTGAGTGAGTGTGTGATATTATCAGTGTGTCGGTGTGTGAGTGAGTGTGTGAGATTATCAGTGTGTAGGTGTGTCTGTGTGGGAGTGAGTGTGTGAGTGAGTGTGTGATATTATCAGTGTGTCTGTGTGTGAGTGAGTGTGTGGGTGTGTGAGTGTGTGGGTCTGTGTGTGAGATTGTTATCAGTATGTGTGTGTCGTGTATCTTAGATCGTGCCTATCTCGCCGTGTTATCAGCTCAACAAAGAAAAGAAAAACGAAAGTCTTCGGTTGTTGAAAGGATGGGCGCGACACTAGAGCTTGCTACACACAGATCTCACCAATCACAAAGCGTGGGAATGTTGCGTTATAAATACCACTCTGGAAACTCCTCGAGATTTTAATTATAGGTCACGTACATCAAACAGATGAAAAAAAAAGCCGTATTTGGTCGAAAAGGTGTAGTGTTGATTAAATAAATATGCCGATTATGTGTATAAGTTAGTGATTGGTGTCGTTCATATGTATAAATTAATGGATTAAAAAATTATTTTGGTTATGTAAATGTATTAATTTCAGAGGCGTAGCGACCCTTCCCGGCGCCCGGGGACAAATTTTTGATTTGCACCCCCCCCCCCCCCTCAAACTTTCGATTTTCACCCCCCTCAACCTTTCAATTTATTTGTCCAACCCATTTTGGCGCCCCCTAAGGTCGGCGCCCGGGGAAATATGCCCCCCCCCCCTTCGCTACGCTACTGGTTAATTTATTGAATATGTTAATTGATCAACTGTACCGAATAGTTGGGTGTGATGTTTTACAAGGCGTGAACTCTACATCACTTGCTCCATGAACCGTGATGTTCGAAATGGAAACTTAACTTTGTTTTACCAAAATTGTGTTTCTTTAAAGAAAACTGAAATGTTTTGCCAAAATCTTACTGCAGAAAACCAGACATAGTTTAAGATAAAAATAAATTAGCAAGCTAATTTATTTTCCCTGATTGTTTTTACTTTCTCGTATATACGAAGTATAGAGAAAGTATTGTAATCGTGCACAAAAATCACTTGAAATTTTAACAATTTTCACCGTATTACACCTCAGTCCTTCATCACATCCGAAGTATAAAGGACTTATTTTAATCGGGCAAAAATTATCAATCCAGATTTATCAAAATTAAGAGGTTTTATGCGTAATCCAGTCTGAAAAACTGGGCTTTGCAATTCTGTCCGTATGTCTGTGTGTCTGTGTGTGTGTCCGTGTGTAAACACGATTACTTGAGTACCGTTATAGCTAGGTTGATGAAATTTCATATATAAGTATTTTATCAAAATCGTAGATCCGTATCAACTTTTGAGCGATTTCCGATAACCGGAAGTGGTACTTTTCCTACTTTGAATTTTTCAAAAGCCTATAACTTGAGTACTATTTCAGATAGATAAATGAAATTTCACATGTAAGTAAAAGATCTAATTCTCTACCTTCTGTTAAATTTTGAGTAATTTCCGTTGACCGGAAGTAGTAATTTACGCTACTTCCGATTTCTCAAAAAACTAATGTAAATTTTTAAAGTACTAATAATATTGCGCGCTATTGTACACTTTTTTATTTGGCGTTCACTAGTTCACTTGGCGTGCAATTATTTTGTCTACTAGATTTTAATCTATTTTTAAAACTTTAAGTATTTAAAATGGATTAAAAATCATGTCAATAGCCCGAGTTCCCATCCCCTGTTGTTTTATATAAGAATATTCGAGAAAGTTTAGGGGAGATCACTCCCGGTTTATTTATAAATGAAATAAAGACCAAAATTGTAATAGATAAAGACCAAAAATGTACACAAAAATCGAATGCTATGGTTAACTAAATTAAATTTGTTTAGAGCAACGGGCTCATACCGTTAATTGAATGGGATTAAAACTGATAAGTGAAATAGAGAATAGACCCCGGGATGAAAGGTGAAAAGCTCCGCGCGTAATTAGTGTGATTTGTGTAATTAATCATGTCCAGCTGGTGATGTTTAGTGTGCGCAGGGCTGGCCTTAAATTGGCCACAAACAATCTATTGATACGGCGTATCAAAGGGCGCTAACCCATGTCACTCTGTCCCGACATGCGAGTTACCTCTTGCTTCACATCTTTATAAACAAACAAAATGGCGGATTTGGGGGGGGGGGGGGGGGGTGGAGGGTTGAACATGCAGGGGTTATACATGGATGGGTGGGGGGGGGGGCGGTCGTTAGAGTTAAACATAGAGGCGAGTTGTTAAGGGTTTAATATACGGGGGCGATAGGGCTAAACATGGGAGGGGGTCGTTGATAGAGTTAGGAATAAGGGAGGGGTTGTTAATGTTAAACATGGGGGCGGGTTGTTAGGGTTAGTTATGGGGGTGACAGGGTTATACGTAGGGGGGGGGGGGGGTGCGTAGTCGTTAGAGTTAAATATAGGGGTGATAAGGTTTTACTTGGGGGTGGGGGATCGTTCGAGTTTTAAATATGGGGGCGGGTTTTCGGGTTAAAAAGCTGCTACTGAAGTGGCAGATAAACGAAATAAAACATGTTTGGTGTAAACAAAGGCGTCTGGCAACTTTTGAATACTTATCGAGATAAGATTTCAACTGTATGTGCTACCTACATACACACTACCTACCATAGGTGCCTTCATGAGTTACCGACCCATGGAGAGTCCCGGGGGAGGGGGGGTGGGACAAATTTGAGTCTCCTGCTGTACATTATAAACGCCCCTGAGCTTAGATGATGGTACTGTAACTATAACTAAAATAAAACAAAAATAACTTCTCTCTATAATGAGTTTTTTGATAACTGTAGATGAACAACATGACAAGATATAAATGGGATGTTTTACCCGTGTAATACAACCTTCAACTTGAACCTAAAAAAACAAACTGGGATTGTGAACACAACACCAACGCTATTTTTTCTGGAAGACCGTGTTCATAAATATCGAGACAGACGGAGATTAATTTTTTATGAACCTAATTACCGCTAATAGAGTCCCCACATACATTAATACTGACACTTCCATTGAGAGATTACTGCTTTTGACAGAACTTGAACACGGCGCGGCTGCGTTTCTGCTTGCGTGAAGTGGCCGTGGCGTAGTAATTTCTATACGGACCTCAAATTTATATCCCATTGTATGGGTGTCAACACAAGATTCAGCCCTGCAGCAGTATTATGACGTCTGGTAAATACGTCCGATGCCGACAATAGTCTTCTTACCGTAAAGAAAATGTATGCATCGTCAAATGCAGCCACGGTCTTAGCACTGTGGTGTAAAATAAAACGATACAGATAGAAAGGATTATTTTATTTTAGGTGATAGAAAGATGAACTTTAAAATACTCGTGAAGTGTCAATATGTTTGCATAAAAGGTGACAAATATGTTTGCATAAAAGGTGACAAATATGTTTGTATAAAAGGTGACAAATGTTCATGTTGTCTTCATGGTCTATGTCCCACAAGTTCTAGTTTTCAAAAAAAAAAAAAAAAGTACCTATGTTCCTAAATACATTTTTCAATGGTAAAAACAAATGTGATTTGGAGAGGTGGTTTTATATGGTCGTACCGTTAACGCGAACCAGTGCTTGTTATATAGCTAAAGTTCGAGTCTTGTATAAATCATTTCAATGCTAATTTGAAAGACTTTGGTATAAATGCATAAGTGTTTCTTAAATTAATCTTAACGTGGTATTGCAAATAAGGTGAATGGGTATCAAAGCAAATATACTTAGTGTTAGTGTATGCGATTTTATATTATTAATAGAATAGAATTGGCTTGGTTTTAACTAAATACAGCGTACCTTATCTTAAAAGACATTGACATTTACCAAAACCGCCTACGCTTTAGTTAGAGAATATCGACGTGTCTGTCGGCAAGTTTGTGGTGCTTCAAGACAACCCATGTGATAGACAAGCATTCGGTGTGTTTGAAACAGATTTTATATCAAAGTCTTATCAAGTGTATTCGTACACAAGCACTTCTGGCTTTCACGTTAAAAATATAAAGTTGTGCTTCAGTTACTGTTCTAAAGTGCGCTCAAGATTTATGAATGCAGGACAGAGTGGTTGGGTGGTAAACCCCTCATCTGTTACCCCAAAGGTCTCGAGTTCGAATCTCAATCCGGACTCGAGACTACAGAAATTCTCCGAGATCCCCAGCTCTGATGGGTACCTGACTTATGTTGGGAAAAGTTACGGCGTCTGGGCATAGTGCTGACCACTCTATCCCTTCATATGTCGAGGTCAAAAAAACATATCACACTCCTACATCTACCATATGGATTGTCAAGTCTGAACAGAGAACTTGACTAACTTATTCACTCTGGTATGTAACGGTGTAGCGCCCAGTGCAACCCGACACCCCAACCATCCACCAGCACCATCTTTCAGCCTAGCAAGACATTCAGCAGCAACCGGCGGAGAAGAATCACCTACTTTCTTTTTCCCCCCAGCGAACGCGTCGAAACGGGAAAACCCCGTGCGGCTCGGATTTACCGCTGTGCCGAGTATCCAATTTCCTTACCTCAGCGGCCACTAAAGCCAGTCATTACTCGCATTACATCGACTATCATTACTCATATAACAAGACTTTGTCGTGGCTGATACTGCGTCTCTGGGCACGATTTGGGGTGTTTATTATACCCGTGCCGCCGTGTGGCGTCTGTGCTTTATCGAAACGTGTTTATTCTCTCGCCACCCAGAACCACGTAGGGTGACTTTGACCTACTGCTACATGTCTGGAACTAGCTGGGTGATTGACCTGTATATCAATCACCCCCCCCCCCCCTTCTCACCCTAGTGACATTTGAGATTTATCTGTGGTAGTAAACTTTATTCTTGGGTCCATGGTTTATTCAAAATTGGGTGATGGTTCAATTTCTTTGCAAACTATATATATATATATATATATATATATATATATATATATATATATATATATATATATATATATATATATATATATATATATATTCCTATTCTAGCCTATTATGTTCAACTTTCGCTTATCTTACAGAGAAATAAACACTACCGGGTACAGTTATTTCCTAGAGACCCCAATCTCCACCACACAACGAAGAGATGAAGATCGCGTCACATACCTCAATAAAAGTAAGTTTTACATCACATACATCAATAAAAGTAAGTCTTAGGTCACATACCTCAATAAAAGTAAGTCTTAGGTCACATACATCAATCATAGTAAATCAGGTCACATACCTCAATAAAAGTAAGTCTTAGGTCACATACCTCAATAAAAGTAAGTCTTAGGTCACATACCTCAATAAAAGTAAGTCTTAAGTCACATACATCAATCATAGTAAATCAGGTCACATATACCAATGCAAGTAAGTCTTAGGTCACATGCCTCAATAAAGGTAAGTCTTAGATCATATACCTCAATAAGACCTAGGGCACATACCTCAATAAAAGTAAGTCTTAAGTTACATACCTCAATAAAAGTAATTTTTAGATCACTTTCCTCAATAAAAGTAAGTCTTAGATCACATACATCAGTCAAAGTAAATCAGGTCACATACCTCAATATAACGATTTCCTTGGTCAATATAAATAACAAAAAGAAAAAGAAAGTTACATGTAGGTTATACGTAAAAGTAAATGTGTAGATTAGTTTGTTTACTCAAGGCTGTAGTTGATACTGTAATAATGTGCTTTGTTTTTGCCAACTAAAGCCAAAGTACGAACACGAAGAGTAAATAGCTTGGGTTTTATTTCTAATCCATGTTTTAATTTTTTTTTTTTACAGGTCAGTACTACGGCCTCACCCTGGACTTCAACAGTCAAGAGAGGAACATTAAATGTGCCGTTGTCAAGGTGACTGATTTATTCTGTACAATTTATACCCCACGCCCCTTCTCGGAACTATGGGGACACTACTCGGATACGTTATCTAATGTTAACATTTCATGCTTACAGTTTAGTCTTCCATCCTCATACCAGCCATTGCCCCACTCCCACTATCTACTTTAAATGTTAACATTTCATGATTATAGTTCAGTATCCCATCCTCATACCAGCCATTGTCCCACTCACACAATGAAATCTACTTTAAATGTTAACTTATCTCAGCTAGAATTAATCCACTTTCATCTTGCCTTAACTCAACACAAAGACGCGGCTAAAGGGGACGGTACTCCGTCGTTTGCACACGTTCCAAAGTTAGTTCTCTTTTTGGCGAGGAGATTGGCTTGACATTAAGTCTATATACTTAACACTCCGCCGACGTAATGAAATATTTGTTTGCTAATTCCGACACGAATTTCTCGAATTCATGGCTGTGTTGATGATCCGTACCGCCTAGTATTCTGTACTCTATGTATAAAAGATGGCGTCAGGTTCGAATGTTTTTAGTGCATGAAAAACCTGAACCGAAGTCCTTTTCGACGTGTGTGTTTTTTAACAGGATACTTTAGGGCATTTGTTCTTAACCTGGGTTCGATCGAACCCCAGGAGTTCAATGAGTCAGTCTCGGGGGTTTTGCAAAGATCAGGACTTGCACTTTACTTATATGATTGATGATAGAATTTTGTCTGTGCGGACGGTAGAACTTTTAAGAAGGACAATGTGAATGCGCATATGAAACTGGTGGGGTTCGGTATCTCCAAAAATATAAAGAAACGCTGCTTTAGGGAAACGGTTATGCCCTGGGTTGGAAGTAAGATGGGGGAGGTGGAGATAAACGGCCAAATTTAGTATCTCTGATTTGAATGTTTTACACACTCATTTTGAATTATGTAGACGTAGATTGAGCGAGATGGATCATAGTTAAAATGTGGGTGCTGTATGGAATTAGGAGTTTCAGCGTCATTTTCTCATCATATTTTATTCACTTCGGAGCTGCAAGTCACATATAACGGTAGTATCGCTTTTAACTTAGTCTATAATACCATACAAGAAGAACACTTAGGAAACAGAATAGGGCAATTCTAATCTCCCAACTACCCACCAAGTAGAGTGAACTAAAAAAAATAGTTGGAGAAAGCAAATATTCTATACTTCTACAACTATTTTTTATGTATTTCTAGACAAGCGAAAGAATATATATATATATATATATATATATATATATATATATATATATATATATATATATATATATATATATATATATATATATATATACATATATATATATACATATATATACATATATACATATATATATATATATATATATATATATATATATATATATATATATATATATATATATATATATATATATATATATATATAATTTCCTGGTTGGCGTCACATTCTAACATTACAAAAAGCCAAACGTATAAATATATTTTCTCTAAGGTCTTTTAAGTTCGGTTTAAACTCTTTTCAGTAAAGCAAAATTTTAAAAATCGCTTTTCAAACTTTTTTATTTTGCGCTCTTGTGTGAGATGTACCACCTTAATAAAATATCGTATGGCTGTTTGTAGTCGCTTGTGTGTGATGTAACACTTTAATAAAAAAAATGTCGTTGTGTGGTCGTCTGCAGTCGGTGATCATCCTAGCCTTCAGGGAGGAGAAGACGATGGAGGAGGAGAGAAAAGCCTGGGAGTTCTGGCACGGCAGGCAGCACAGCTACAAGCAGAGGATACTGGACATAGGTCAGTTCAGGTTTAGACTGCTCATGTATTTTTGGACTTGTCATAAGTTCTCAGGCTTTTTAGAATTATTTTAGGGAGGGTAATTTGTGATGTTTTTTTTATAAATAAATATCACGTACGATGACTTTTATGGGCGAGGTCGGGTGTCACCCGGTGCGGCACTTAATGGTGTCACCCCCCCAGAGGCGTAGCGACTCTTCCCGGGAACAAACTTTCAAATTTTCGATTTGCACCCCCCTCTCAAACTTTCGATTTGCACCCCCCTCAAGTTTTCGATTTGCACCCCCCCTCAAGTTTTGTCTATATATTTTGCTATTTTTTGCCTTGGTGTCACCCCCCTAAATGGTGTCACCCGGTGCGGTCCGCACACCCCGCCCCCCCCCCCTCGCTACGCTCCTGTTTATGGGACAGTGTGATCGGATGGTTAGACCTTCAACTGCTACCCCAAAAGTCTCGAGTTCGAATTTCGGACACGAGTCAGTAGGACGAACCTGCCTCTTGTTCTATAGTACTCTATTCCTTACATCTAACGCTGTCGCTTGCTCTACACAGACACGAAGAACTGCCAAGGAGTGGTACCCAACAACATCGAGGAGATAGCCTTTAACGCCGTGGCTGTCAGGTGGAGCCCCATGGAGGGGGCGGTCAAGGTAGGGTGGGGCGGGACACACACCCCTGTTATAAAATAATATGGGGGTAGTCAAGTTATATCAAGAACGAAAATATCTCTATGGAAAGATTCTTTTTTGTGTGTGTATATTTTACCGCACATTTTTATAGTATGAAGCTAGGATGTTGTAATAAATACACTATTTTTAAAAAATTGAAATTTTTAAAGAAAAAGCATTTTTTTTAGAGATGATTATTTACACATTTTTTGTTTGCTATTTTTTTCTTGTTAAAGTTTTTTTTTTTAATATTGTTGTTAAAATTTCCTGAAAAAAATGTGTTTATGTGAAAATTTCCTGAAAAAAAATGTGTTTATGTTAAAATTTCCTGAAAAAAATGTGTTTATGTTAAACTTTCCTTGAGTAAATAAAATTTTTCTGTTCAATTTTCAGGTGAACATCGCTGTTCACTGCTTGAGTACAGACTTCAGCAATCAGAAGGGGGTCAAGGGCATCCCACTGCACATCCAGATAGACACGTACGAACAGGGGCCAAAGGGAAACCATCTAGTCCACAGAGGTTACTGCCAGATCAAGGCGTTTTGTGATAAGGTAAGGAAAGTTCTAGAAACAGATAGAAACCATCTAGTCCACAGGGTTTTCTGCCAGATCAAGGCGTTTTGTGATCAGGTAAGAAAAGTTCTAGAAACAGATAGAAACCATCTAGTCCACAGGGTTTTCTGCCACATCAAGGCGTTTTGTGATAAGGTAAGGAAAGTTCTAGAAACAGATACCATCTAGTCTACATGGGTTACTGCCAGATCAAGGCGTTTTGTAATAAGATAAGGCGAGCTCTAGATACAGATAGAAAGTAGTCTCTAGATATATAGAGCTTCTATAGCAAAATGAATCGGTATGAGACAACCCTTCTTATATGAAGTGCTAATTTATAAGATGCTTCTTGCTCTAGATAGATGGTCTTGAAAATATTAAATATAATATAGGTCTAATAATGCATTTGGATTTTTAAAATGGATTTTTCTATTCTGCTTTATTTTTTAAAGAGAAAATACTTCCACCAGTTAACCTCACCTACCCACGCTTATCACTTCTGTAAAACGAAATGTTTGTTTCATTTTGTAAAGAAAAAGAAAAGTCACTTTCAAATTGATTTTTGTATAAATCCAATGTAAACACTTCTTGTTTTTACAAGCATATATTTGCATATTACTTATATTACAATGTAAATTTCTCTAATCCTAAATCATACATTTGCTTGATAGTTTGGTACAAGTGTAGTGTTTTCTTTGATTAAAATGTACGTAAGATTTGAACCCTAACCTGTCCCCAGGGTGCCGAGCGTAAGACGAGGGACGAGGAGAGGAGGCGAGTGGCCAAGAACAAACCGGAAGAGTTCGGGAACGCCCCTCCGGTTAAAAGTAAGGGTGGGTCATCTGCATGGTCAGATATGTGTGTCAGTGGCGTCAGTGACATGTTAGTCGTATAAGTTAGTGACATGTCAGTCATATATGTCAGTGATATATAGATAATGTATGTCAGTGACATGTTAGTCATGCATTTCAGTGGTGTCAATGACGTATTGGTTATGTATGTCAGTAACATGTAGGTCACTTGTGTCAGTGGTGTCTATAACATACTGGTCGTTTATGTCAGTGACATGTCAGTCAGATATGTCTTTGGTGTCTGTGATATATGTCAGTGGTGTCAGTGACATGTCAGTCATGTATGTTAGTGACATGTTGGTCATGTACTTCAGTGGTGTCAGTGACATATAGGTCATATATGCCAGTGACATGTCGATCTTGTATGTCAGTGGTGTCAGTGACATATTAGTCCAATACTTGTGTCAGATATTAATATCAGTAATGTTTGTCACATATAAGTGTCTGTCCACAGACAAAGAAAACAATAAACTAATCTGGACTATTCTGACATTGTAAACATCCAACATCTTCCCCTATAAATAGACACCTTATACGTGATGATTCATATCTTTCAGGCCGGAAGAAAACTGAGGAATCTTTCCACGAACCATGTGACAGATCTGAGTTCTATTCCATGGCAGACATCATATCCGAACCAGTTTTCTTTAACCCCTTACATGAAACTCCGGAATTTATTCACAAGGTAAAGCAGGACAAGTAGCCTATTTTTATCATAGATATCAGAGATTCTTGTTTTATATCGTTGGGTACTGTGTAAATCTGGACAAATGTTTTTATCAAACTCAAACATAGATTCTTGTTTTATATCGTTGGTTACAGCGTAAAGCTGGACACATGTTTTTATCAAACTCAAACATAGATTCTTGTTTTATATCGATGGTTACAGTGTAAAGCTGGACAAATGTTTTTATCAAACTCAAACATAGATTCTTGTTTTATATAGATGGGTACAGTATAAACCTGGACTAACATTTTCATCAAACTTTAACATAGATTCTTGATTTATATACATGGATACAGTGTAAATTAAACATCGTTGTTACTAAAACAAAATACATAAATGTATGTCTTTGTATTTTATAAGCTTTGTAATGTATGCCTGGTTTATTTTTAATCCTCAGTCAATATCACTTGGAGTTGTGCCCTTACAAGAAGAAGATTTATCCAGGTAAGCCTTGATTTTAATCATTTGTATGGCCCATTCTTTGTGGCTCTATGAGCCAACAATAGATGTGGTGTGTATGGGGAGGCCGCTTGCAAAACCTGTCCAGTCCACGTTTTAAAAGAATAAGTTACTCTTATGGCCTTCTTAATTAAGTGGCGATTTAAGTAGTATACTAATTTTTGTTCAGAAAAATATACATTAAAAAAATTACGTAATAGTAAAATATCGAAAATCCTAAAAATAGTTAACAAAACAAATTTTAAAAGTCGATCGTTTGAAGTCAACCAGAAGTGATTTGGCTTGTTTTGCAAATGGACTCCTCGTATATTAACATGAAGTCTAACTTGAAGACTCTCTTGCTCCCAACCCTATACACAATAGATGCTATTGCGTTACAAGTACCGATATCAGTCAGTTTTTATTAAATCATGTTTATGGTCCTGTGGGGGACAATTGGTTAAATTGCCATTCGGACCCAGCGGCCCGTGGGGTAGGGGATTTGGGGACAAGAACAAAATCGAATCTTGGACACGCCACAGAACACACTAACGAACATGGTGTCGTCTGATACTGTTAATATCAACACAGATGGGCAAATTACTATTACTTCAATGCTAATATGTATCGACCAGACCAATGTGTATAAATATCGTTAAGAAAATAACTTGACAATAGTAATACAACGTGATTGTTCTGACTTTAATCAACACTACGTATCACTCCAAGGCTATAAAATATATTGGCTTAAATTACAAAGTGGAGTTACACATTTCTAGTATATGCCGCTGTTAAAAAAAATAATCTGCTACCCCCCCCCCCACACACACACACACACGAGTGCACCCCCACACCCACCCCACACTGTCTACTCCCCCATGATATCTCAGTTGTACGTAACGTTTCTATAACCGTCTCACCCTCACCATGACAACGCCCCCGTGATATCCTAAAAATACGTAATATCTCTGTACCCGTCCCACCCCGTCTATGTCGGTGTGATATTATACCCTACACTTCCTCCTGCTTCTGTTCTATGACGAATGCCCTACCCTCCACACGGATATGCTGTCAATATCAACACCAATTAGTGTCAAGGAAAAATGATTCCAGTTGACCACACTCTTATTAAATGTCACTTAACGCAGGTCGAACAAAACTAGTGTTAAAACTAACACCTCTCTTTTTTTCTTTCTCACACCCCCCCCCCCCCACAACATCCAGCTATACCTGAGCCGATAGTATTTTATTGCCGCCCTCTAAATCTAGTTCGCCCCCCCCCCCCCCTTGACAACTGTCTAAGTGTTGTTGACAATAGTATCAGGAGAAGAGGTCGGCAAACATTGCTGTTATTGTGTGCGGGGGCCGATGGAGTGGCTATCAAATGTTTATTTCAACACCTCTGTCGCGACACCTACCTGAGAAGTCGAGTCCATAAATTAAAATCTCACCTGAAACTACCTGGATAATAAATAACTCACGCTGGTGCACGGTGAACTCTGGAACAGCTAACTGGTCGTGGTGTTTATATTTCTGTTCTGGTGCCTGACGGGCGGAGCGAATCGGTGCCGGATGGAGTTGTGGGTTCGGATCCCGTCTCTCTTGCCTTGAGAGGAACTAAATTCTTGAATAGATTCCTCCTGTTCTGTCTTTAGATGGACTATATTCTTGAAAGGATTCCCACTGTTCTGTCTTAATATGGGCTATATTCTTTACACGAGTACGTATAGCGTTGAAATAAAACTATGTCCACAGTAACAACAGTTGCTTCCAGCCCTTCACTGTTAATTTTTTTTTAAATCAGTAAATCTCGAGGCGGTAAAAAAATGTTGCTTTCAGTAAATGAGAGATACAATTTTCAAAAACAAAATATTTATAGCGGCGATTAAATTAATTAATGTTGACTGTAGAAATATTGACTTAAGTTAGGGAAACTAAGGCGGCTGAGCATAGTGCTGACCACACTATCCCCTTTGTATGCCGATGTCTTTGAAATAGATAAGTTATACCTCCTCATCTGCCCTATGTGTCTTAGGTGCGAACAGGAAAAGATGATGAGATGATGATAGAAACATTAAATTGGTATCTTTCTTAAACTTTAGGAACTCTTTACATTCGTTACAAGCAGTGGTGCAGCGACGGGGGGAGGGGAGGGGGGGGGCGGCGGACCCTAGGGGCGCCAAAATAAGCTCATTTTAGCTGCTATTTTGAATTAGAAATATAAAAAAAATATAATGGGGGGAGGGCGCCAAATTGAAAGTTTGTTGCCGGGAGGGGTCGCTACGTCTCTGGTTACAAGTTAATTTAAGGATTATAGTTTATATTTCACCATTACCTGATACGCGTGTTAACGCAATCATAATCATTCTACAAAACTAAAGTGCCAAAACAACTACCACAAAACTTCATAAATACATGAAAACCACCAGATCGTTACCTGCACCAACACGAACCGATTTCTTCTAGAGCATGTCATAAACACCAGCAGCACTCACAAAAGCCAGGTGTGGTATAATAAAGTCAGACACACAGAGGTTATCTCCCTGTAATCAGCTCTGGTTTGTGTACCCCAGTGTTATCAGCGGCGGTAACCCATTACCCACAAACTTACCTAATCCCCTTGAAGGAGTTGAAAGTGTTTCACCTTATGACTGGTGGCGAAATGGTGGGGGAAGGGGGAGGTAAAAAAATGTAAACTCCTGTAAATGTATGTTAATGCAAATTTTATATTTAAAACGCAATAAAACGGGAATGAAAACTTTTATTTTTATTAAATTTTAATGTTATATTCCCAGGCCTGCAACAATAAAATGGCGGCGGTCTCTGAGTCGTTCTGTTTGGCTCTTTTACGAGCCAGAAGAAAAAAAAACAAGTCCATGCCAAACATCAGTTTTGTTTTTATTCCTAGTGTAGACCAGGGGTCTCCAAACTTTTCAGTCCGATGGCCGCATTAACTATCAAATTTCAGTTCGGGGCCAGTTTCTTCCAGGCATGTATTTGATTTTTCTGGGCAAAGTTCCTCAACCATTACCAACAAACGGTTTTTCGTTGGACAAAAAGTTTTCCGCGGGCCGGATGAGAGGACTTCGCGGGCCGCATCCGGCCCGCGGGCCGTAGTTTGGAGACCCCTTGTGTAGACCAATGAGACCGCATTAACTGTTTTCAAATTTGGACAGGGCTTGTCCATAGCTAACACCCACACACCTAGCCGATTAATGAGGGTGAGGGGGGGGGGGCGACAATTATGACGATCAGATACGCGTAGGAGGGCCGGGTGTTTCACAACACCCATGTAAGTTGACTTATATTTAGATTTTTTTTTTTTAAATAGTATAATAGATGTGAGAAAAAAAAACAGGTTTATTTACTTCAGGACTGTGTTATTTTTGGAACAACATAAAGTGAAATATTGAATACGCTGACTTAGTTTCTGAAAGGGGGTAGCGGAGGATAGGACTTTTTTAGAAAACTAGAAATTAGGGGTGTGAGGATGAGAAGTCCTCTATTTTAGTGTGACATCTTTTTAATGGCTTATATGGCTATGGTTAAATTTAGTTGTTTTTTTTTACGTTTGTGATTGAAGTTCGCATAATAAATTGTCACTCTATAGACCTATAGTTTATTTCTAAAAAAAATTAAATGTTAGTATTTCGGGGGAATATATGGAATCACGTCTACCGCCCCCCTCCCCAACCAGAACAAAATTGAATTTATATAGAAATTATATACTGTTACCAATGTCCGCCCTCCTCTCCTTGAATGTACGTCTACAGTCCCCGCCCCCCCCCCCCCCCCCGAACAAATTAGAATCTACAAAGAAAATATATACTTTGACCAGTGTGCCTCCCCTCCTCCCGAAGAAAAAGGCTGAAACAACCTCTGGATGGAAGATCTATCACAATAAAACTCATCAGTTTTGGTGTACACACACAGACACACACACACACAGATAACCATAAAAAGACGTCAGATGTACGCATCGTACAGATAACGTCATAGCTTTATCACGTGAGGATCACAAAGTTCGACTAACGCGCCCATCCGTGACCCCGACTAGAGGTCACACACACACACACAAAAAAACATGATCCTTCTATGTGGGTGGGACAGGTGTAACGTCTGTAGGAAATAGGTTTTTTTTTTAGCTCCATTGAAACCAGGTGTGTTTTAGTGTCTGTTTATTGGTGTAGGCATCCAGTGTCTACTGGTGCACATGCTCCACCCAAACCACGATATGACAGAGGAAGTAGAGGTCACGTAGACGCGATAAACGAAAGGAAATGGGCGTGTCTTCAAGCGGGGTGGGTTCTGGGACGTCTTCCTATTGTATGATGACGTCCTATAGACTGAGAGACGCCAGTGACGTCTTATAAATTAAACCAAGAAGCGGATTGTTTCTGAGATTTTAACTAGACTCTTTCCTGTTGATAGCTATCCCCCACCCCCAGCACATGGCAAACAAAAACTGGAGTGAGATAATAAATACATTGGTATTTTGACATACCCCCCCCCCCCCCACCTTTTCCGAGTTATATCCACAACATGCGTTCTCATCAGTGGCGGGTTAAGGTGGAGGAGGGGGGAGGGTCGGGCTGCTACCAGAGGGTCCCAAAACTGTAGACCTATAACCAGTTTCTTCCAGGCATCTCTTCTCAGCCCCCCCCCCTTCCGAAGAAAGTCTACCGCCCTCCTCCCCCCCCCCCCCCTTAAAAAAAATCAAGTGCCTCTTTCCTTCCCCCTCCCCCGGAGAAAAAAGTCTGGAAGAAACACTGCCTATAACCTACACTATAATATATTAATGTGATGTAATAACCGTCTGTGATCATTTTTAACCAAGGGCCTGGTCAATTTTTTAGCCTAGCCCCCCCCCCCCCGGGTAATTTCCAGCCAGTTGTCCCACTCCAACATACCACCCCCAGCCCTCTACTCCAACACAACCCGCCCCAGCCCTCCAACATAACCCGCCCCAACCCTCTACAACCCGCTCAGCCCTCTACTTCAACACAACCCGCCCCAGCCCTCTACAACAGTCTCCTCCTATCTTTCAGCCTGCCAACAAGTCTAGAACTGCCCGACTCATGCGACGACTACTACAGCGGCAGCCCTGCCAAGAGAGCCAGGAGAGACTCCACCAGCACCCCTAAAGACGGTCAAAAAGGTATTTACTCCAGTCCACCTTTCTGCTACTGTATTTACTCCAGTCCACCTTTCTGCTACTGTATTTACTCCAGTCCACCTATCTGCTACTGTATTTACTCCAGTCCACCTATCTGCTACTGTATTTACTCCAGTCCACCTATCTGCTACTGTATTTACTCCAGTCCACCTTTCTGCTACTGTATTTACTCCAGTCCACTTATCTACTACTGTAATTACTCCAGTCCATCTATCTGCTACTGTATTTACTCCAGTCCACCTTTCTGCTACTGTATTTACTCCAGTCCACTTATCTGCTACTGTATTTACTCCAGTCCACCTATCTTCTACTGTATTTACTCCAGTCCACCTATCTGCTACTGTATTTACTCCAGTCCACCTATCTGCTACTGTATTTACTCCAGTCCACCTTTCTGCTACTGTATTTACTCCAGTCCACTTATCTACTACTGTAATTACTCCAGTCCATCTATCTGCTACTGTATTTACTCCAGTCCACCTTTCTGCTACTGTATTTCCTCCAGTCCACTTATCTGCTACTGTATTTAATCCAGTCCACCTGTCCGCTACTGTATTTACTCCAGTCCACCTTTCTGCTACTGTATTTCCTCCAGTCCACTTATCTGCTACTGTATTTAATCCAGTCCACCTATCTGCTACTGTATTTACTCCAGTCCACCTTTCTGCTACTGTATTTACTCCAGTCCACTTATCTACTACTGTAATTACTCCAGTCCACCTTTCTGCTACTGTATTTCCTCCAGTCCACTTATCTGCTACTGTATTTAATCCAGTCCACCTGTCCGCTACTGTATTTACTCCAGTCCACCTCTCTGCTACTGTATTTACTCCAGTCCACCTTTCTGCTACTGTATTTACTCCAGTCCACTTATCTACTACTGTAATTACTCCAGTCCATCTATCTGCTACTGTATTTACTCCAGTCCACCTTTCTGCTACTGTATTTACTCCAGTCCACTTATCTTCTACTGTATTTACTCCAGTCCACCTCTCTGCTACTGTATTTACTCCAGTCCACTTATCTACTACTGTAATTACTCCAGTCCACCTCTCTGCTACTGTATTTACTCCAGTCCACCTTTCTGCTACTGTATTTACTCCAGTCCACTTATCTACTACTGTAATTACTCCAGTCCATCTATCTGCTACTGTATTTACTCCAGTCCACCTTTCTGCTACTGTATTTACTCCAGTCCACTTATCTTCTACTGTATTTACTCCAGTCCACCTCTCTGCTACTGTATTTACTCCAGTCCACTTATCTACTACTGTAATTACTCCAGTCCATCTATCTGCTACTGTATTTACTCCAGTCCACCTATATGCTACTGTATTTACTCCAGTCCACCTATCCGCTACTGTATTTAATCCAGTCCACCTTTCTGCTACTGTATTTACTGACGATGGTAGATAAGCCTAAACCCCAGCGCTTCCTCTTTAAAAAAAAATACGCACATTCGTCGCCCAAGATACACATATTTTCTATTTCACTTGCATCACATCACTATGTGAAAAAACAACACGTAGAAACATACATACATACCAACATGCACACACATACATAGGCACACTAGACACACACACCTCCCACACCTACAACCAAAGTCCTGTAATGTCCTTATTTATGTGAGAGAACAAAACACATACCCCCCACCACACACCTATAACCAATGTCCTGTAATATAACCAATGTCCTGTAATGTCCTTTCAGTCCTCCTGTACGTCAGGGAACAACACGAGAACGTCTACACAGCCCTCATGCTTGAGATCCCCACCCTACACGGGCTGCTCAGATCAGTGAGTACTTCACCCCCCATCCCCCGGGGAGGGGGTCTTATCTGCATGATTGACAGTAGCATTGACTGAAGGTCGCTGTAGTGTAGTGAATAAAGATCATCTATTTGTGTAATTAACTAAAGATCATCTATTTGCGTAATTAACTAAAGATCATCTATCTGTACCATTCATTGACCAAATATAATCTATCAGTACCATTAAATCACTAAAGATCATCTATTTGTGTTATTAACTGACTAAAGATCATCTATCTATACCGTAAACTGACTAAAGATAATCTATTTGAGCTTAAAGACTAAAGATCATGTGTAGTTTACAGACTTTGATCACGAGTAAAGATCTAACTAAAGATCATGTATTTGTGCTTCTGAGTAGTTTACAGATTTAGATCTTTTATAAGAATTATGAAGAGATCATGTATTTGTAACATATTTATTATGTGTGGTTAATTGACCGAATAATGTGTAGGCCTATTGGTGTAGTTAAGTTATTAGTCTTATAACAAAATATCTAAAGATTAAGAGTAGTCAACAGACAAAATATACTGTACAGTTAACTTTGCCGACTGAAACACACCATTCTTCAACTAGTCAAGATCATGCATATACATATCAATAGTGCTAAGTAGCCATACATCAAACATGTTCCCTTAAATTAGATCACCAATACTGAACCTGACCATGTATTTCTTCACAGATTGAACAAAAATACTCTATATCTCCATCAAAAGTGAAAAATCTTTATAAAAAGTCCCGTAAAGGGTAAGTAGTTAGTTGCAAACTATTAAGGTCTATTCTTACTCTTATTTACTAAATGTTTTAAAAACCAAGCTAAAAAATAGTTTATACTGTAGGCTATGTTTAGTTGTAGTTTTTACTTAACTGTAAGTAATCACAAATGTACAATCATTTTTTCTTGAAAAATAGAATTCTCGTGAGACTTGATGACAACATCGTGCGACATTATTCACACGAGTCAACATTCATCATCGAGATCAACGTCTTAAACCAGGAGAAGGATTATGAGATTATTCTAGTTGAAATAGACCCAGCAACATCATAGCTACACTGTCTCCATGGAACTCGTTTGTGTTGAAAGTTATAAAAGTACAATGTTTTCTTGAAGAGCTGGTACTTACTTGTGAATGTACTTACTTAAAAAATATTTATAAAGAAAATAAGAACTTGTCTAACAATACTATGTAGTATGTAAGGACTAATCAATTGCTGTGTTGTAAGTCATGTAAAATAGAAGTGGCCAAATGAGGTTGTTAAGTATCAACTAAATGTTTCTATTGAATCATTGTACAAATAGTTCCAAAACATGACAGGATGGTACTATTTTTCCAACACTTTTCATTTTATTTTATTTATTCCATGATGGGTATATATAAATCAACTGTTGATTAAGGACATAGTAAATAAAAAAAAAACAACACAATAACTTCAATGTGAAGAAACTGTAGATAATTGATACACGCATGTGGTTTTTAAATTAGACAGTGGCTACCCTGGTGCCACAGCGATGGGGTAGGTAAGCTTGATGGTAGGGGGTAGTGCTGGTTGAAAATTGTCTGGGGCCAACTGACAATTATTATACATTACTTTATTAACTTGACGCAACTTCAAGGATTCACATTGGGGCACCTAAAACTCAAATGGTCCCTGGCTGCTGCCTGATCAGCCCCCCCCCCCCCCCCCCCCATTTACGCTACAACTCATGCATGACTGACCAGCCTGTATCAGTTACGCTACAACTCATGCATATCCTGCATGATTGACCAAGTCTCAGTAGCAGTCTGCATCGATCCTGCTGGCATTGAATAATTAAACCCCTGGAAACCTGATTGTCTTTTGTCTTACAAGAAAAAAATGTGTATTCTAAAATGTTTTAGTGTACTGTCCTACGTAAAACTCATAACCCAGAATGAACCAGATAATGCTGAGTGAGGATTATTTATATAACTGTTTGTTATGAAAAAGTTTATATGATTTTTTTATGCCAAAAAAAAACTCAACTGCTGATTATATAAGCTATCTGTATTTATATTTGTATATTACTCATCGTTAACAGACCACCCTGTGAACTGTAGAATAAACAAACTGACCACTTGTTCAATTTTAGGCATCAACTGACCTATTTCTATATTTCTAGCATGAATTCATTGACTCTCTTCATTTACAACTGTCTGTACATAGCTATATAGTTCTGTTTATCAGTTGAATATCTACCCACTACATACCGGACTCTAGAAGAATAATTTCAATCATATTTCCTTAATGGAAACTATGCAAATAAATTTATTCAAATGCAAATAGCCTGTGTTATATTCGCAATGTGATGGTTTAAAGTCTGATTCAAATATCTACCTGCAAATACATTTTCTAGATAAAAATTATATTTACATATACATTTGTTATTCTTATACAAATCAAGTTTAAACAGTTGGCTTGACTGCTTGAATTTACTTGAACTCTGAATTAGAAATAAAATTGACAAAGGTTATATCTAAACAGGGTAACTTCATATGATATTTAAATCATGCTCCAATAGTGTACGGAATTGTAATTAAATAGTTTACAAAAACTAGAAAAAAACTGTCTCTTAATTTGTCTCTAGTGTCTCTCTCAATTTACTATTGTATACCCATTTTTTTCCCAGTCATTAATTTATTTTTCAAGGGACTACCATAAACTAAAATCTCTTTTGAATGGATTAATTCATTGATCTAATCTTTATTTATACAAGCAAGTTGAGAATCCTGGATGTTTTCTCTCTCACACAGTGCACTTAGCTGCTATGTCAATGTATAGCTTATTTAATTTACATTTTAAAATTGGCAATTTTAATGTGCCTTAAGATTTTTTTTATTTAAAGAAGGATAGGAACAAGACTGTGTTCAGGGTAGATTTACAAATTAAGTTCATAAACAATTTTTGTAAATATTTTTTACTTTTTTTGTCTGTTGTTTGATAAGTTAAAAAAAATTGTTTGATAATTAGTTTGTTTAATGAATATTTACTTCTCATTCAAATTTTTGAAATAGAAAACAGTGGTTTGGTTTTCTTGTGTAACTTATTATGTGATAATGAAAGTATGCTGTGGTTAAAACCTTTATTGCTGAATTACAGCTGTTTTCTCATACTGAATCTTTTAAAAATTCCTTATAAAAATACCATTTGCTATTGACTTTTATCTTGAATCAATAATTAGCTTATAATTCTGTAAAAATCTTAACACATTGATTTAGTCAAATGATAAATTAATTTTTTAGAAAAATATATTGCTATTAGTTTTGTAAGTGTATTAAAAACTATTGATTCTAATATTATCATGTTATGGTGCTCACAAAATGATCACAATTCAATCTTAAAATTTAAAACGCGCCCTCCATTATTTCATCATCAGGTTTTTACAATGTTTTTGTAGACTCTCATCAAACTAAAGTGTCTTGACTACTACATATTGTATAATATATAAATGGATGCTTAGATGTTTACAACTAACAAGTTATATGTTAGTAACATATTGAAAGTATGTTGTGTCCGTGGCATTTTGTCAAATAAAAAATTTGAAAATGTTATTTTTATGACCCTTTATATAATGCCTGTATAGTAACCACATTGCCAAATTTTTTTCACCATGCATTTGTTCACTGCTCCCATTCCTTTACCCCAATGTAAACAATGAGACCATCATAAACTAAACCTCACATATTTGTACCAGCAGTACAAAAAAATGTATCTCACATTCCCTGTGGAAACATTCCCTACACTAGCCAAAACATTTCTTAGTTATACTAAAAGAAATTAGAAAAAAAAAAAGTTACAATAAAATAAAGTCAACTGGACTATGTAAGATATAAATACAGCTAAACTTTTACTGTAAAATACCAAAATGCATTTCACTTAAAGCTGATCTCATTACTGTAGCCTCCTCCTTATAAAGCCCCACGATATATTGCTTCAACTACTATACATTCCATTGCATTATTTATGCAAAATATTTTCAATATTTACATTTATCTAACAATTACTTCATATTTTACCTATTGTATCTATTTATATAATACTTGATGCATCATTCCAAACCTTGAATGTGTCTAGGACTGTCATCAGATATACAGCAATACATTCCAATTTATTAAAGTATAAAATACTGCAAAAAATAACGTGTTGGTTTTTATTTTTGTTGTTTTATTGGCCTGTTGTCAGAAGAATTGTATACAAAATTAGCCATTGCATTTGTCATAATAAAACTCTGGTGTGGTCAATTATATAAATATTGACTTCTTTGTTGAGCATTTTTAGTTAAATAGAGATAAAGGGAGGTAACAGAGTATTAAATTACTTACTTAAATTACAGACATTTTTAGAAAACACAAATTGTGATTTCATTATAAAAAATAATTAAAAGCAGATTAATACATTTTTTAAATCTTCCATTTTATAAATAAATTTAATCAAGCCTCAATTTCACAAAATAAAGTTCACCACTTATTTAAAGCCTTAAGGAATGAATTAATGGTAGAATACTTTTAAATGGTTAATTGGGCTATCTACTTACTCTATTGACAAAATGTAAGAACTATGGAAAATCAAACACTAAAACTTGCAATTATCAACGTTTTATTTTAAGAAAGTGATTTAAAAAAAAAAACCGGGGTGTTGAATTATTAAGTGTCACAACTGTTTTGTAACCAGGTTTTTCAAGCAGGTTTCCAAAATATTCTTGTCCAGATTTTGACCTGAAAATAAAAAAAAACATTTAGTACATAGAGAGATTACAGCATGCTGAGAGTGGCAATAGTGACATAAATTACTGATATCATGCTCTGATAGTTAACAAGATCTTTATGCTGAAAATAGTGGACGGGATGGCCTGGAAAATCTCAACTTCAAATCCGGGTTCAAGTCAATAAAACATCCCTGAGTCCACCCAACTCTGAAGGGTACCTAACTCAGGGAAAGTAAAGGCAGCTGGGCATAGTGCTGACCACACTACCCCTTAATATGCCAAAGGCAGAGAAACAGGTGACTTTTACTTGCCCAATGGACCATGAGGTTCAAAAAGAAAACTTTACTCTTTACTTTATGCTAAAAATTACTGCAAAGTCAGCAAATGGATTACTGGCTTCAATTCTGCCAAGCATGGCTAAAATATTAATGAACCGAAATTTTCAATTAAATACCACAATTCAAGATTACATTTCTTGAAGACAAAAAAATAAAATGTAACTTATATAGTAAAATATAATAAAAGAAACTTTACCAATGACAAAAAGAGTTAAAATAAAACCGGAAAGTTTACTAATGACAAAAAGAGTTAAAATAAAAAAAGAGTTAAAATAAAACCAGAAAGTTTACCAATGACAAAAGAGTTAAAATAAAACAGGAAAGTTTACCAATGACAAAAGAGTTAAAATAAAACAGTAAAGTTTACCAATGACAAAAGAGTTAAAATAAAACAGGAAAGTTTACCAATGAAGACTATTGAGTTGAAGTGAGGCTCATCATGCCTCCATGCTGTTGTATACTGTGAATCATAAAGCTCATGAACAGCCTGTACCACAAGTCTCTTGTCAGAGCCTTGAATGGACACTACACCCTGTAGTGCAAAGTTTAAATGTTAAGTTGTACAAAGCTTTGTCAAGTTCTTTTACAAGCTTTTATTTAACTTGGTTTTCTCTATTTGTCAGAAGTCAAAATCCGTAAGCAAAATATACGTTTTTTATATTAAAATATTTTAAAGTATCAAAAGAAAAAAATATTAATAAAAAATTTGTTAATAACAGGCAATTATCAAATTACTCACTAAAAGGAGAAAATAAATTAAAAAGACAAGCGTGGATCTCTATATTATGTATTAAATACAGTTACTAGAATTTGAGCCAGACAAGCCGGACAACCGGCTTCAAAATTAGGCATATATGTCAGAAAAGCCAGTTTTCCGGCCTGATGATCTAGAGTCATAGTCTGGTATACTATCTTATTAAATATAATTAGTGGCGGACTGAGTAAAACGGCGCACTGTCTTTTTAGTGCAAGGTTATGATTCTAAAAATTGATTTTGGGGAAAGGTGAAAGTGTCATAAAATACATTGTCAACGTAAAAAAATCGGTCGTTTTATATTATTTTATTATTTGGTTACAATTATTATTATAATAACAGTAAATAAGTAAGTTGCTCAAGTTTTGTTATTATGTTTAGTAAGTATATAAAACATTTTTGGCTTGATTATCTCAAACAGTTCAAAAGTTGTAGGCAAGTTAGAAGCAGATAAGTGAAAATTGGTTTGGGCTTGGGAGCTCAGGAAATGGGAGAAATTAGGCCAGGTTTCAAGGGGTTAAGAAGCAACCCACTCTTTCATTTTTGTTATTGAAATGGTAGTTACAGCAGTCACCCAACACATCAGTCAACCAACACAGAAGTCACCCCACACATCAGTCACCCCACACAACAGTCACCCTGCACAGAAGTAACCTCACTTGTCAGTTACCCCACACATCAGTTACCCCATACAGCAGTCACTTCACACAGCAGTCATCTCACAGTCACCCCACATTTAAAATAAAAATATTTAAAAATCAACACTAAATATAAAGCTATGACAAGAAAAAGCTCAGACATTACCTTAAGCCTCAACACCTGGATGGTCTTTCCCTCTGAGTTTTTGATTGATTTCTCCCAGAGCAGGTTCTGAAGAAACTCATCCAGGTCAGCCTTCAGCAGGTCACCATCTGCCTGTACAGTCACTGTAATTATACCCTGGAATATTTCACTTGCTTTTTACATTTTAAAGGGTTAAAAATAAACATCTTAACAGCAAACATATTATGGCTACAAATGGACATCTTAAATTTAACTTAAATTTAAGGGGGAATGTATGACTTAGACATTGGTCAAGAAAAAATCTGTGAACAGACTGTTTCACATTTAAAGTAAGTAAGAAAATCTGAAAAATCATACTAAGACTTGTAAGAATAAATGGTAGGGAAGCTGATAAGGACAACGGCTAAAATTTTATATTGTCATGGGAAATGTTTTGGATCAACTGAAACATCTAGAAAACTAAATTCCACGTCAAAGAAATAATAACAACAGTTGTTTAGCCATCATTTGGCTCTGGTTTTTAACATATTAAAGGGTTAAAAATTTACATGTCAACAGTTAATGGATTTCTGAAATCAATTTATTGCATTGAAGAAGGGAGCTCATAAGCTAACCTTATCAATTCTGTGTTTGTTCTCTGGGTTATATCCCCTGTCTGTGAAAATATCTTCCAACCTAAATAGGATAAGAGGAATTAAATAAGCTTACATTTTATAAATATTAACATAAAATATGTATTATACTCTAAGTTTAATAACTTCTGTTGCTCATTTGGTGATTGTATTTATTCCTTTTAACAGTGAGTGTTTTAAATTGAATACACTATTTATAGTTATAAAATTCAATCTGTGATCTACAGTAAAAACTATCATTCACATGTTCTCAACAAAGTTAATCTTAAAATGTTATTTCTTTGTGACAATGTAGAGTGTTATCCCTTGTAAACAGCATAAACATGATCTTTAAAGGGCTTAAAATTGTGTATAAACTGATGTTTTTGTTTTACCTGATTGTCCCTACTCCACCATAAGCATTTTTATCCAGGATTTCATCCAGATCAACTCTATGTAAAGAAATATTATGTTAGTAAATTATACTTAAAGATAACAATAAATAACAATAATAGGAGTTACAATATGAATGTTATCTAAGTTCATTAGAATTACTTTACTTAAAGGTGGGAAATAATCAAAATATTATTTAGTTTAACAAAGTGAAAATAACTCTTACTTTGCATGTGAGGTTTCAATTAATTTAGCAAAACCGTTGACTGATCTGAAAATTTAATAAAAAAATTTTCATTCTACACGCTGCATCATAACCAGGTGAAGCTACTTCACCAAACCCAAAGGTTATAACAATAAATCTTAGATATTAACTTATTAACTCCCTTTTCACAATCTTAGATATTACCTGATTAACTCCCTTAAACTATCACATTCTTCTTTCTGGATGAGATCAGTTTTGTTGATAATAATTACATCAGCTAGTGCTATTTGCCTGGAAGATAAAGAACAAATACCGGACATAGTTTATTTCAAATTTTTCCAAAAACATCTTGTACTTTGCTGTTAAAGCTATCAGCAAGCAGTTATCTCCTGTTTGCTTCCATAAGTTGTCTTAGGGTACAATTTTTAAGAATAAGAAACTTATTATATGAGTGTGTCCCATTTAATAGACACACTTAAAACAACTAGCACATAATTAGCCAGGCATATTGCTTGGCTGACACAGTTTTAAAAAAATTACATGAGCGACATCAACATAGCAGCTAATACAAATATTAATTACGTAAACAATGTGAAGCTAGAACTATTCCATTGACAAGAAATTTTTAACAAGTTCCTGTTTTGTTTTTACTGTCATACCGTCGATTTGAATGTGGTTGGCATAACAGTAGAGTAAGGTACAGACAATTAATACGGACATTTTAGGGTTAGTTCATACTCACAGAGGGTAGTCTAGTTAAAAGGTTGTCATAGACCGCATCAAACTTACCTTTGACATTCATTTGTACATTCTTCACTTTTTCTTTCTATCATTTGCTGTAACACAAAAATTACATTTTACCACCACAAATAACAAACAGAACACACTAATTTTTACACAACTGTCATGTTTTGTAAGCAATGTTCTAACATACACAAAATTAGTGAAAAACAATAGAAATCAATATCTGAAACTAAATTGATGTTATAGTTAACCAGTTAAATGATATTAATATTAAAAAAAATATTTTTAAAAATTCTAGCTTTAAACAAACTAACTCAATTTTTCTAATAAAAATAATCAGTTTAAACAAATAAAAAAAAAACATTTTACCTGACTACAAAATTTTGCATCCACAACTGTCACTATACCTGTAAAAAAGATCAAAGTTTACTTTTAATTTACTGCTTAATGAAAATTTTTTAAGCTGATTATTTGGTAGTTAAAATTTACATTGAAAAATTTTGGTACTCAACATTTCCGTGTGTAACTAATTATAAAAGGTCAATCTTGTTAACTCTTCTCATTATGTAACCGCAAAAGGTTATATTTTTTAAAAATAAATTAGATTTGGTATTATGAATACCAACCATCTAAGTAAATGTCACTGCAAAGCTCTTCATCCAGCCAAAATATCGATGCTATGGGCCCTGGATCTGCAAGTCCTGTTGTTTCCAGCAAAATGTAATCAAACTTTCCTTTCTTTTTCATGAGGTCCTCTATTGCTTTCACCCCATTATCTCTATAGTAATAGAAAATAAGTATTTTCATTTTCAAAATACAACTAACAAAAAACCAATTTTACTCTTATTATAGAAATTTAAAAAAAAACATTTTACTTTTTACAAACAAAAACAAACCATTTCTATTTATGAAAAAAATATTTATTATAAACATAATTCCTATTCTATTTTTAAGCATATACTTTTTTAAACAGTGGCAGTTATTAGATAACACCACCATGATCCCAGCACATGTAAAAATCAATAAAAAAAACAGTACAGTTAAAACTGAGTATTTGCAAAAATACATCAAATCAGGTATATGTATGAATCTTAACAAAGCCAGAAACAAGTCAGTTGTAGCATCCACTTACTTAACTGAACAACAGAGGCAGCCATTTCTGAGTTCCAACCACTCCTCAAAGAGTTCACCTTTTTCACCTACAGACATGGATTTCTCTATGGAATCCCCTGGAAGACAATAGAATGTGCACCATTTAAAACACGCTTGGCATGCTAATACTCTACATTTACGCAAATTATAGTCCAATATTTGAATTCTGAAAATATACCTCTACTTTTTGTCAAAATATTAATAAACTCTCTCAAATCTACATTTAGTAAAACTAAATTATGAACAATGGTAACAATTCTTCTCCTTCAGGACTGATTATATTTTTTTTAAAAATTAGGATAAAATCTGTAGTAAATTATTTACCTTCCCCAAACTCGTTCAGTATTACAGCTATTCTTTTCCCATGTTGTTCAGTCAGAATGTAGTTAAGGAGAGTTGTCTTCCCTGCACCTGAACAAACATATTTTCAATATTTTGAATTTAACTGTTGTGTCTTTCCTTATTTATTATCATATAATACAATCAAATCTAGCATAAATATTAACACTATATAAACATACAATTTCAGATCATGTAACTTGGTGTAACTTTAATGTTACCTAAATATCCTGTTATCACTGTCACAGGAACCTTCTGTGCCTCAGGTGTAAGAGGAACCAGCACAGGAATGTCATCTTCGTTATCCGACATCTTTTAAGATCCCAGACTTCAACATATGCTGATTGATTCAAGTGTGTTTAATTTGACTAAAGATAAGACAAGCCACATGTACTGCCACTACTGCTGGGATAACAATATTCTCAGCCCAAAACCAGCTTCACAGGTCCAGTATCTTAGATAGGCCTTCAACAGAGACACAGGTAATTAATGTGAATTATTAAATTTGATCAATGATAATTCTTGCTGAGTCTTGAATACCAAATCTGCAATTTAAAAAAAAAAATAAGCCTTACAATAAATACAGATTTATACATTTCAATCATTCCATGTATTTTTAAGTTAAAACTTTGTAAGATTGCTGTTTCTTTAATTAGTTAACCAGGCCTTCTGCGAGTTAAAAACAAACATTTTAAATGTGTTGTTTATGTGGAGCTTACAATGTTAAAATGTTGGGCTTTCTAAAATATAAGTTAGTAAATATTAAAAGTATAATGTGGATTATGTTAAGTAAAATAACTTAATTTTTTAAAAGTATTATTGACTGTAATGGCGGGCAGCATTATACTTAGTTGTAAGGCCACAGTTCATAAGCTTAGGGTTAGGACTAAACATGATTTTCTTCTAAACGCAGGCAATGTCAATTAATTAAAAAAATTTTAAGCATGTTAAAACTTTTGTTTATCTTGTAACATTAAAGAACTTATAAGTTAAATGCATTCTGTATGCGGAGTCATAAATGATTAAATGGACAACCCTCTACACGCCCTACAGAATTTTTAAAAAACATGGAAATACACAAGAAACTTCTCATCAAACATAAAATTTTAAATTGTAGGGCCTATTAGATTTTAGATCTATACTCTATACTATTTAGGCCTACTACTGCTACTATTTAGTATATAGTATAATATACTATAGTAAGGGGTGGAAGCAGGCGTTGTAACTGAAATAGCAATATAAAAGGAAGCAGGCGTTGTAACTGAAATAGCAATATAATATATACTATAGTGTAACTATAGTATATTGATCAGCTTGTCAGATGTTTGTAGTTTGTAGTAGTTTTTTTAAATTAAATATTCTGTTATTTCAAATACACCATTAAGTTCCTTACCCCTTAAGAGAACATTTGACACCACATTTAAATATCTAGCTTACTCAGTTGCCGAGAAAAAAGAGAATTTTAAAATTTTATCCTACTATTCCTAGTAATACTACTACTATTATTTTTAATTTTAGGGTCTTACTTTTTTTTTAAATTACAAAGATTGTTACTAGTTACAATTAAGGGTAATCTATCGTTTTGGGTTCGTAAAATCGACAGCGGCTATTAATGTAAGAAAAAGTTACCTCATTGTCAAGGTATATTGTGATATGTTTGTGTCAAATATTATAGATAAATGGATAATAAACCTAAATCAATGGCTAAATATATCGATATAGGCCAGAAATTAACTTTAAACAGCAGTGTCTGCGAGCAAGATTTGCTATATAAACAGCAGCCATGTGTAAAATAGAGTGGCTTCCCCCTGAATCTTATAAAAATAAAACTTAAACAAAATGGCTGCTATAGTAAATGAGCATGGTTGCATCTGTTGGAAACATCGCTAGTCTTCATTTATAACTGAAAAGTTTTAATTCAATTGTTTAAAAACAGATACATAAATGAAACAAGGAAACATTTTTGTATTTTAAAAAACATAAATCCTCCTCAAAATGTGAAATAATTATTAAAATTTAAGGAGTCACCTGTTTTTCACATTACAAGTCGCGGGCGATTTTACGTACCTAAAACGATAGATTACCCAATTAAGTAACAGTTAACAATTGATTGTATAATGCAAGATGATACGCATTTTATTTTTAATGATTTTACAAGAATCTACTACTACTGGCTACTACTACTAGATTTACCACTAGATCTAGAATCTAGTACTACTACGTATTTTACCTCCTTCGACTTTTAAGGCCTAAGACTAAATATAAATAATGACTAGATCTAGAATAATTCTAGATCTAAGTCATAAGTTCATAAGTGATTTCAGATGTGAGAACCTAACCGCCATAACGAATAAAAGTTACTTTGGTAATCTATCGTTTTAGGTACGTAAAATCGCCCGCGGCTAGTAATGTACGAAAAAGTTACCTCATTGTCAAGGCTTTAATTAATAGAAGTATATTGTGATATATTTGTGTCAAATATTATAGATACATGAATAATAAACCTAAATCAATGGCTAAAGATATCAATATAGGCAAGAAATTAACTTTAAACAGCAGTGTTTGCGAGCAGGATTTTCTATTTAAAAAGCGGCCATCTGGCTTCCCCTGAATCTTGCGCTATAATTTTACAATAAAAAAAAAATAAACAAGATGGCTGCTATAGTATAGTAAATGAGCATAGTTGCATCTGTTGGAAACATAGCTATTAGCTAGTCTTCATTTATTACTGAAAAGTTTTAATTCAGTTGTTTAAAAACAGGTATATAAATGAAACAAGGAAATATTTTTGTATTTTTCAAAACATAAATCCTTATTAATTTAAATCCTCCTCAATATGTGAAATAATTATTAAATTTAAGTAGTCACCTGTTTTTCACATTGCTAGTCGCGGGCGATTTTACGTACCTAAAACGATAGATTACCCGTTACCGTTACTTACTTTACTAACTTTATACTAGATCTATTACTTTATAATTATTTTAATTAGGGCCTATACATTATAATTTTTTTTTATATTTTAAATTTTTTTCATCCTTCAAATTTCAAATCACTTATTTTAGAAAGAATCTAAGGTTAAAAATTAGGCCTATATTCATTAGATATAGAAATCTAGATCTAGATTCTATAGGCCCTACCTATTTATAAATTTAATATTTATTAGAATCTAGTAGATCTATTTGATTTGATTTTGATTCAGAATTCAGGTGGTGCAGTTGTGATGTAAACATTGTCTAAATACCCCGCGTTTACTGAAATACAAAAAAACAATTTTGATCAGCTAACTAGCGAAACATCTGAAGTTCAAAAACAATAAAATAAATCTTGAAAAAGTCTCTCTGTTACCTCAAATATAACGTATTTTTGATTGTTGTAAACTATGCCAATTGGGTTTTTATATTCACTTTTTTTACAGCAGTCATATGTGAACATTTTTTTTAATATATCGAATAATCGAGTTGCTTGAAAATGAAATATGTGGAATGTATGTGCTCAGTGTTTCTTCCAGACTTTTTTCTTTGGGGGGGGGGGGGGGGGGGGGGGAGGCAATTGAAATTTTCGGGGGGGGGGGGGGGGCGGTAGACTTTAAGTACAATTAGATCTAATTCGTTTTATTAAATTAAACTTTAAAGTTTAATATAAAAAGTATTTTAATATATAACAATGAAAACAACAACATTCAAAGATAATTTTGAAATTACAAGTAATTTACGAAAATACTGTAAGCGATTCTAGATTAAAGTAAGACAGTGTTACTTTACTTAAAAACCTCATAAAATAATTTTAATTACACCCCAAATTTCTATTTTTCTATTTTTGAACGGTTTTCTCTCTCAAATATTCATTGAAATACATAAAAATCTGGCACTTTGACCGAGTTTTATTATTATTTATTTTATAAAGTTTCTATTAGAAAGAGAAGGGTCTGTTAACATTCAATTGAAAAAAAAAAGTTGTTTACACATGCAACAAAGCGACGCCGCATTTAATTTGCCTTATCAATGAAACAACATTTTTTTTAAAAACTGATACAAAGAGAAGCCTTACAAAATCGATTACGATTCAGTAATGCAGCTCAGAGAAAAACTTTATTTTTTTCTACTCCTTTTGGCGCCGCCTAGGGTCTACGCTTAGGACATCACCCCACCCCCCCACCCCCCCCCCCCCCCCACACGCTCCCTGCCTCTGATTTTTATGTCAAAGAACTCAGTTTGAACTACCAATTAACGTAACAAATAAGTAGAGCTGTAACCGATATATATATATATATATATATATATATATATATATATATATATATATATATATATATATATATATATATATATATATATATATATATATATATGTATGTATATATATATATATATATATATATATATATATATATATATATATATATATATATATATATATATATATATATATATATATATATATGTGTGTGTGTGTGTGTGTGTAATGTTATCATTCTGTTCAACCAGCAACATAAATTTGGATAACCTCATAAAGAGCCCCCCCCCCCCCATTATATGGTGTAGTTTTTAAAAGAACTCTTGGAATTCGGTCTCTTAAAATTCTTTATTTATTTATTTTCCCCCGGTGCCTACACGTAGGTGGTAACGGGTGAAGATAACAAGTCATATCTCGGTCTATTTTCGTCAGCAGACTGAAGCCCCTCTAACCTGGGAGGGCCTCCAACACAGGCAGGGGAGGGCCCACAACACTAGCGTTGAGCACATGGCAGCCTTTTGTGAACCGGTTTGACAACTTTTCTTTCCTCCGCCGTCAAACGGCGCGTGTCCCCGTTCTAGATTTTAATCACCACAGCATAACTTGGATATCGGAATAAATTTCGTTATACCTGTTATGTCTTGATAGAAATGTTTTCCGTGTAGCAGAGGGACAAAAGAAGAAAAAAAACTAAGTGCCCTCGGATGGGAAGGTTGTCGTGTGTAGCAAGTGTAGCAAGATGAAGCCTTTTTTTTTCTTCATGGGTGTACATAGTTGATAAGGTAAAAATAAACCGAAATTCTGTGCTTTCAAGAGAGGATCTTTAAGTGAGGAAAAGTGGTTTTCGGTGACACTGGATCTACCCACAAGCAAAACAGGATCTTACACCTGTATCAATACAACTTTCATTTACTAGTCGTTCGATAGTTCGTTAGCAGGTAAGTGAGACAGGTTTATAAAAATTATTAAGCCAAGTTAAACCGTTTATAAATAAGTTTAATAGAAGTAACATATAATATTATAAATCGTATACATGTATAAATAAATAATTAAATATAGGTTTTACCTATATATACAGGCATATATATATATATATAGGGCCTATATATATATATATATATATATATATATATATATATATATATATATATATATATATATATATATATATATATATATATATATATATATATATATATATATATAGGCCATATATATATATATATATATATATATAGGCCATATATATATATATATATATATATATATATATATATATATATATATATAGCCAATATAAAGGCTTACATATTATTTTGCTTACAATTGTATCTTGAATTAATGTAATGTGTCTTATAACTTAGGCTTTGTGGAAATTACAACTGATTTAATAATAGATATAAAAAAAAACTTGTAAGAGAAAAATAGTACACATAATTATTTAACTAATAATAGATGAAATAAATGAAATCTTATTTGAGTGAATGGTCAGTTGATTAACATATACTGTTTTTGTTTTATTGGCCAGTTGATTTACAAATGATGTAGGAGTAATCATTTCATTTGTCACTTTATTTGCTAGTGACAAATTACTTCAAATAGGCCAGTTGATGAACTAATCATGTATACGTTTCAATAGTCAATTATAATAATGATATAGCCTACAAGCTGTAATGTTCAATTATTTATACTAGTGATGTATATCTTCTAAATGTCAATTAATTATACCAATGATATTCACGTTCTAATGTTAAATCAATAAAACAAATAATTGACCAGTTTGAATATTGTACACATTTCAAACAGAACGTGTGTGTGTTATAACTGAAAACTGCCCTGTACCATGGTAGTGCCAGGGTTACTGTGTCCTTCTGCTAATGTAATCATCCAAAGGGCGCCCCCGTATGTCACGGTTGATTTGTCTGCACCTTACACCCCCCTGCTTGTACACATAGAAGAAGCTTCCTGGTTCCCTCTCGAAATATTGAACACACAAAAAAAACACTTTCAATTCAGTTTTTCTTTCCTAAAAAACGGATACAGGATTTTTTCCAGCCAAGTACTTATTCCCAACTTTTTATTTTTTTCGTATGCTAATTATATTTTCATAACCGTCAAGCCTACGTGATTTTTTGTTAGAGGAACCAGCACAGGAATGTCATCACACCTTTATTTTTCTGCCAATATGTGTCACACACTTGCATGGTATTGTATTTTGGCATTCGAACACCTAACAAACTGTATTATGTAATTCAACCCTTCCGTTCAACAATACATTATATCACTGAAGTATTCTACAGTATATATATATATATATATATATATATATATATATATATATATATATATATATATATATATATATATATATATATATATATAAACTTACATAACCATACAAAAACGTAGATGACATGTGTACTGTATAGCATGTGAGTCGATTAAAGCCATTCGTGCAAGACTGTTGCCGCTCTGCTAAATGTGTCTTGGTTAACCATTCATTATGCCCCTTACTTGAACTAGGTACAAGAATTTCGAATTAGCTCCCCTTTGGTTCGTGGTTATCGCACCGATGCGAGAAAACAAAATTACAATAAAATCAATACATGTCTTCGATCCGATGCCTGAGTATTTGGTCATCTTATCAAACGTGTTTCGCCTAGAAGCTTGTGTAAATTTAATGAAGTTGCTTCACGGGTGGCTGTGCTGTGTTGGTTGTGTACCTGATGATTCTGAATGCTCGTGTTGTGAGTACTGTTTGGTTAGAAGCAGGGGTGTAGGCCTACTGGCTGTGTCTAAGAGGTCCGGGAAATCTTAGTAGAGACCCCAGGCCACAGATTAAAATTTTCATTGAGCCATTTTTTTTTCCACAAAGCACGATGATCATACTCAACTTTAATGTAAATTCACGCGATAATATTTAAAAACATTTTTTTTTTAAAAGTCAAAGCCAAGGCCTAGTACAGCACCGTCCCTGGGAGCCCAGCGAGATTTTTTTTTTACCTGGCGCCCCGATTTTTCCCGATAAATGGGCGAGCCAATCCACCCCAGGTTAGCAGCATACCACTGTATAACATAATTTGTTTATTTTCTCAGCCACCTATTACCTTTACATTTCACTAAACTTTATCTAAAGACCAAAATCTAATCCGAAGTCATTAACAGCTTAGCCAAAACTTTTTAAAAAAAAACAAATTGTGTTAATATTTTATAGGTTTTTAAATCTTTTGGCACATGCTATTTTTTAACAATAAATCATAAAGTTAAGGAATGTTCATGGAAACACAGTAAGAAAGTTATAATAAGAAAATGAAGAATAAGATAAGTTAAAATGGGAAGGAACCAAACTAAAATAGTCACACCTATTATATAGCTTTCTTCTTAGTGTATAGGAACACAAACATGATATGATAACTAAACTCTCTGTTTAAAAACATAATTGTCACTGGTATGGGTCAAATTTATGTTAAACTTTTGTATTGTTTACAAAATGATCTAAAATTTATGGTAAGCTTTTGTATTGTTTACAAAATGATCTCAAATTTGAACCCTTTTAAAAATGTTTAAAACAATAATGGGACACTTTTCAGAAACTAGATCTACCCTTAGAGCAAACAACTAGAATAACTGACTCTAAAATATGTAAATTGGTTACTTAAATACATAAAATTTACATGTTCAAACTAGCCACCTATCCGCGACAAAAATCCCAGAACATAAACCTTCCTTTTGAGGGCATATGTAGGAGGTAAAAATAAACAGATGAGAACCTTGTTTTGGTCATCAGGTTTTGTATTTAATACGAGCCGACCCGCTGCGTATCATACGCCGCTATTTAGTTTTTTTTTTTACTTTTCAGTAATTTATAATTTGTGAATTCGACAGTACCAATGCTGCCACTGAAAATATTTGCTTAAAAACACTAAACCCCCCTTCCCCCCCCCCCCCCCCCCCCCCACGTAAAAGCAGCGTCCTCTTAGTTACCTCCTCTAAGTTTAAAATCGTTTCAAACTAAATTATCTGCCCCTAATAGCCGTCACCAAACCCGTCTCTATGATTGTAAAATGTAAACAGCGTGACCACAGCTCACCAGACAATGTGGGGGTGGGGTGGGGGTGGTAGTGATAGTGATAGAGAGAAAGAGATGGGACTGCAAGGAGGCGCTTGCAGCTTGTTTTCTAACGGCTCCCATAAGAGAATTATATATATACGAGCCGACCCGCGGCGTATCATACGCCGCTATTTAGTTGATTTATTTTCTACTTTCAGTAATTCATAATTTGTGAATTCGACAGTACCAATGCTGCCACTGAAAATATTTGCTTTAAAACACTAACCCCCCCTCCTTTCCCCTAACCCCGACCCTACACCCCCCCCCCCCCCGTGAAAGCAGCCTCCTCTTAGTTACCTCCTGTAAGTTTAAAGTCGGTTCAAACTTAATTATCTGCCCCTAATAGCCGTCACTAAACCTGGCTGTACGGTTTGTAAACATTAACGTGACCACAGCTCAGCAGACCATGTGGGGGTGGGGTAGGGTGGTAGTGATAGTGCTAGAGAGAAAGAGAGGAACTGTAAGGAGGCGCTTGCAGCTTGTTTTCTAACGGCTCGCAGAGGAGAATTATATATATAGATAGATTATAGTAACATAATAAACTTATGTTTCACATATTGGATTACGATAAGGTAATTTTTGTTTTATGAAACTAATTTTTTCGCAGCAATGTTTATTTTCCTCTATATCAGCATATTATGAGGGGTTTTTACCAGGAGTTGATATCGGGGGTCTATGTTTATTTGGTTTATGACTGTAGTTTGTAGTCAACGTCGTAAGGATTCAACGTGACAGTGTTAGTGTTATCGTTATTTTAACAAGACTGGCCCGGGATGAGTTAAAATAGTTTTCTGCTACAAAACCAACGTATTCTAGATCTAGCAGTCATGTTTGTTATTGTGTGTACAGGACAATGTCGTTTAAAATATTAGTCTAACCTGACTGATGTTCAACACTGTTTTGGGCTTCATGGACACTTAGTCTCGTTGGACACAAAGGTTAGATGGAGACTAAGGCTACATAAACACTATGGCTACTTAGACACTATGGCTATATAGTCACTGTGGCTAGAAAGACGCTATGGCTACATAGACAAGGCTACATAGACAGTAAGCTTACATAGACATTAAGGTTACATGCACTAAGACTACACAGATACAAAGCTACATAGACACAAGGCTACATAGACACTGAGGTTACATAGACACTATGGCTACATAGACACTATGGCTACATAGACACTATGGCTACATAGACAATAACGCTACATAGACACTAAGGCTACAAAGACACTAAGGCTACAAAGACACTAAGGCTACATAGACACTAAGGCTACATCGATACAAATAGTTATTAAGGCTACATAGACACCAAGGCTACTTAGACACAAAGACTACTGGGACACTAAAGCTACAGGGACACTAAGGCTACATAGACACTAAGGCTACATAGACAATAAAGCTACATAGACAATAAGGCTACATAGACACTAAGGCTACATAGACACTAAGGCTACATAGACACTAAGGCTACATAAACACTAAGGCTACATAGACACTAAGGCTACATAGACATTAAGGCTACATAGACAATAAGGCTACATCGATACAAATGGTTATTAAAGCTACTTAGACACTATGGCTACATAGACACTAAGGCTACATAGACACTAACAACGCATTAAAAACATTTGGTCAAGCAAAAATATATATTCTAGCTGTAGTCTGATTATTAGCATTTTCTGTTTAAACATTCGCATTTTGTATTGTTACGGAATTTCAGTCAGGTACAACTGGAGCGAGGCTGATGACACGTGTCAGAATTAATTATAATTAGCATTTTAATTAGACGTTAGCCTAGGCAAGAAATACTTGGTAATTTTATTTTACAAAAAATGTGGCCTATATAAATGGCTTTGAAGTATGATGCAATGTATTTTTGCTCGACCAAATATTTTTTTTTAATGCATTGCTGAACAGTTTTAATTGTAGACAGTGAAGTAGACAGGTTTTTGTAATGGAGTGGATTAGGGTTGCGCATTTTATCTCGGAGGCCTATAAATATATATATATATATATATATATATATATATATATATATATATATATATATATATATATATATATATATATATATATATATATATATGTATGTATGTATATATATATGTATGTATGTCTAATTATTAATATTATATATATGTATATATATATATATATATATATATATATATATATATATATATATATATATATATATATAATATTAATAATTAGGCCTATAGGTATAAACTCGTTCGGCAGAGTGTCCGATGATTTATGTTCTATAAAAACTTGGTAAAAACGTAAAAATGTGGTTGTATGACACTCAAAATTGTGTCATTGAAAGCGAAAGGAACGCTAGATCTCCACTCATCTAAGACACTTTTGGGTCAATTATGACACTCTTCTCTTTTGATCATGGATTCTATTTTCACTAACCAGCTCCATATTTCTACTGACAGGTCGTATAGGTCAGTAAAAATGGCCGATTTCGACACGGTCGACTACCAGAACAGTCTACACAGCCGCCAGAGTTCTGCCAGCAGTGGTCACTCCTATAGCAGCAACAAAGAAAACGGAACCAGTGAGCACCACACATCGGTGGCCAGCGAAGACCTGTCGTCTGATGCCAGCGAAAACCAGCTGATCCTGAGGGACGGGGTGGAGCTGAAGGGGGAGAGCAGGACGGATGTGACGCAATCGACTTTTGTGTACGAGAATATGGGGCTGTAAGTCACGTTGTCTCTTTCTCCACAATATTATAAAGTTCCTATTGAGACCTAAGGATCCATTGGGCAGATAAAGAAGAGTTCGTATGTTTCTCGTATGTCTCGGCATATGAAGATATTGTTAGATCAGTGCTTTGCCCGGCGCCTATACTTTCCCCGTAAGTCAGGTACCCATTAGAGCTTGGTGGACTCATGGACGTCCTACCGTCTTAAGTCCGAACTGATATCAGAATTAGAGACCTCAGTCCTTGCAAACAAACGATTTACAATATTGAACGTGTGATTTCGTTTTATAGCAAATGGCATCGACAAGTGATGCGAATAGGGTTTTTGGCCCCTGTGGAAACAATACATTCATGGAGTAAAGTGTATAAATAACCGTGCTAGGATTTGAACTTGAATTTAATTTTTTATACAATCATAGAACTTGTAGAATTGTTAACAATTTCTCGATTTGAAAATTATTTTTAGCCAAACCAAATCAAATACTACTTAGATTTATTAGGGCTGCGTTTTTCCGTTTAAAAATGCAACAATTAAAAATGGTATTACTAATTTTCGTTCTGCTGAAAGTATATTTTATTTATTCATTTCAAAAACCTCAAACATCGAGGTTGGTTTTTGGGCAGGGGCAGGGGTGGGGTTTTAGTTCCGGTTGTGTGTGTTTTTTTTAAACCAGACGCCATATTTAGGCCTATATAATTATTCTACTTCTCGAACGTTTTAATGTACAAGGTACATGTTATTCAGACTCCGAAAATTAAGTTTCAAGAAATTAAGCTTTCATAGCAGGATGAAAGTAAGCAGGGTACCATTTGACCCATACTTTCCCTCCCCTTTCAAACAACCTCGCCATATCGACTTATGGACCTGAAACTAACGCCGGTATTGGTGTAAAAAAGTAATCAATGACAGGCACCGCTTCAGTTGCTGTTATAAATGAAAGCTTTCAGCCTGGGTCATTCTGTTAACGAACTTGATATGCTTCGCGGATTACTAGACTAACATTTCAGGATGGGCTAAACACAACTTTTTTTTTATTCATGCAGGTATTGAATAGTCATGTTGTTACTACGGGTCTATTGCTAGTAGTTCTAAACTATTGATCGTTTGTACGTGATCAGTATCAGTGTTTCTTCCAGACTTTTTTCTCCGGGGAGGGCACTTGAAATTTTCGTGGGGGCGGTAAACTTTCTTCGAGGGGGCAGACACTGTTAAAAGTATATATTTTCTATATAAATTATATAAATTTCATTTCGTTCGGGGGGGGGGGGGCGGTAAAAATTTTTCCTTCGCCCCCCCCCCCCCCCCCCCCCGAAGAGATGCCTGGAAGAAACTCTGATCAGTATTCTTTTAGATAAAAAGTAACTTTGTGTCCAAGGAATAATTCAGCCTGAAATATAGCTGGACTCTTTTTGTAGGTATATTGGTGTCCGTGTTTATCAACGTTAGTGTTTAGTAGTGTGTGTCTTTTACCCATAAGATATTTAAGGAGCTTAATAAAAGTTCAAAGTAACAAAACCCATCCGCATTTATCTGGCATGGTGGTGATATTAAACTCTGAAACTTTGACGTCCCATTTTAATTACCGAACCCAAGACCTTTGGATAGCTCTGTAGTTGAGCTCTTCGATATGTAACAATACTTAAATGACAAGTCGTTTAATAAAGGTACCTTGCTAATAAAGGTACTTTGCTAATAAAGGTATCTTGCTAATAAAGGTACCTTGCTAATAAAGGTACCTTGCTAATAAAGGTATATAGCTAATAAAAGTACCTTCCTAATAAAGGTACCTTGCTAATAAAGGTACCTAGCTAATAAAGGTACCTAGCTAATAAAGGTACCTAATAAAGCTACCTTGCTTAGCGATCAAAATGACACATCCATTTGGTTTGAATTAAGTGTTTGGCTCAGTCAGCGATTAGGGGAGTGTCTCACAAAGTCAAAAAAATAGAGATCTATTACCGGGCCAGTGAATCATAAAGAGGATAAAAATCAGTATAAACTACATTGATGATTATTTATTGTGTAGTTTGGCTTTATGATGTACAGCGCTATGGGATTTTAGCTTTATGATATACAGCGCTATGGGACTATAAACATTAGTGGTTTGACGGGTTGTAACACACATAGTCACACACACACACACACACTTACATACATACACACACAGTCACACGCAAACATACATACACACACACACAGTCTCACACACAGTCACACACACACTCATGCGTCATCCGCGTGTTTTTGGTACCAGGATGTAGAAGTGCGTCACTGGGGTGCCGTCATGCTCCTATTATAGCATTGACTTTTGTTATTGAACCGTAAACAAGGCAGTTAAAATAAAACGCTGCACATTAATTCTACATATTTGGGTTCCCTAGAATAAAGCGTGTGTGGGGATGGGGGGGGGGGGGGGGGGAAAGAAGGATAACAACGATTATGCGTTGCACACAACCAATCGCTGTCAGGCAGGCATTGTGTAAACACTGATAAAGGCATTGTGCTATCGGTATCGCTGATTCATATGATGAATAGAACTATAAAGAGAGTAGGCTTACATTTACAGCATTACAATGGCAGCTACCTCAGACATACAAACGCCAGGAGAGCTGTGCTTGCTTTAAAACTTGAACTTAAAACGTGTTATAGCAATAGTTCAACTCGCCGAATTCGTCAAAACCTGTTATCCCGATATTCAGTGTTTCTTTTAGGTATCTCTTCGGAAGGGGGGGGGGGGGACATCACTCCCGAAGCACGTCTACCGGCCCCCGAACGAAATAGAATTTGTATAGAATATATATCCTTTTATCTGGACGCCTCCCCTCCCCCAAAGAAAATTAACGCCCCCCCCCCCCCCTCCCCGTAATTTTCAAGTGTTCTCACCCCCCCCCCTCCTCCCCACGGAGAAAAGTCTGAAAGAAACCCTGCCAATAGTACACCTACATAAAAAAATTTAACAAATCCAACCAAGGTGTGTTGAATAGACTAATGACATTCCGACATGCAAAAATACAAAGATTTGTAATGAATCGATTTAATCAGTCCATCAGAAATGTGTCTTCTACCACTCACTTCACAATACAACACAAAATAATAAATCACCGCTGTTCCTTTTTGTCATACGAAATAAGCACAACTTCCATAATTTACTGTGTAACATTAATGACTTGCAAAGTTTTGTGCTGTTTATTGTCTAAAAATTATTGTATTATAAAACAATAATAATTTTTTCCCCTGATCATAATTTTTTTTTATTATTTCAACCTGATTATATAAAGATTGTAATTTTTTTAGTATGTTATGAAATGTTATAATTTGTTTAGGGGATTACAAAAAAGTTAATTATTCCTTTACACTATACAAATATTGTTTTTTGTTTAGCTTATTATATAATACTGTTATTTGTTTCGATGATTATTGAGTATAATCTGTTGATTAAATGAACTCTCTTCCCTAGGGAGCCAACAAACAAAGATGTATCTCCACCAAACTCCAAACTGGGTCGAACGTTGTCTGCAGGTCCGCCTGGTACAGCCAAGGCCAAGGTCGCCAAAAGTCCTTTCTCATCAAGTATGTTTGCACTTCGCCTTATAGGGTTAACTTTTCTTCTTCAGTAGGCCAATGGGTCCTTATTGGGTTAACTTTTCTTATTCATTTGGCCATTCAGGTTAATTTATCTTTTTTTTTTTTGTGGCAATGTGATCTTTGTAGGGTTAAATATTCCTCTTTTGGCGGGCAAAACGTTGATTTGAATACTGATTTTACCCTTAGGATTGTCGTAGTATCATGTCCTAATCGGCAGCTTTGGGAATCTGCCACTAACACACAACTAACATTATAGCATATATAGATAGCTGTGAAGGGCTGAAATACTTATATAAAAATAAAAAATAAAATTTACAGATTAAGATTTAAAAACCAACATATTTACCGTGTTATCCCATTTTTTACATGTGAACCCACGTTATTATAAGACAAAGATTTTAATCAACACGCTCTATAGGCCTACTGTTTTCACAAACAATGGAGGCGACTGAGTTGACGAGAATTCTTCCATCATATTGTTGACATGGATTAAAAACGTTCTTTTTTAGATTTTGCAATCAAAGTGACCGTAAAAATAATAAAAAATAAAAACTTAAGCCTAAAAATAATCAAAAAGTTAATATTTTTAGAATCAATGTTATGAAAGTTGAAAATCCAGAGAACTGAAAATATTTCTTTGAGTTTAAGGCTATATTTCTATTTATTTTCATCAAGGCTAAGTTATTAACCGATGTTTCACTTTCGTAAGACAAACATGATTGGCTGTAAAGGAACTCCGTGATCGATTTCGGACAGCCCCACGCAGAGGCGTAGCGACCCCTTCCCGGCGCCCGGGAACAAACTTTTCGATTTGCACCCCCCCCCCACACACTCGAGATTTCGATTTGCACCCCCCCCCGCTCAAACTTTTCGATTTGCACCCCCCCCCCCACACCCCTCGAGATTTCGATTTGCACCCCCCCCCCTCAAACTTTCGATTTGCACACCCCCCCCCCCTCAAACTTTCGATTTGCACCCCCCCCTCGAGATTTCGATTTGCACGCCCCCCTCGAGATTTCGATTTGCACCCCCCCCCCTCAAACTTTCGATTTGCACCCCCCTCAACCTTTCAATTTATTTTTCCAACCCATTTTGGCGCCCCCTAAGGTCGGCGCCCGGGGACATATGTCCCCCCGCCCCCCCCCCTCGCTACGCTACTGGCCCCACATCATTAGTTTTTTTTTGTTTACAAAGACTTTGCAGATAAAGTTTTTAATTAACAATGCAAATTTAAACTCCATGGACCTAGTTTTCCTTTTTTTCTCTTAGCAAAGGTAGAGCCTACAATAACATTTATGGTAGCCTATCGAATAGCAGCATGCAATTATTTATGCAGTGGCGGAACTAGACAAAAAGGCTCCCCGCAAAGAAAATTAGGGCCCCCATATATATATATATATATATATATATATATATATATATATATATATATATATAAATATATATATATATATATATATATATATATTATATATATATATATAGATATAGATATAGATATAGATATAGATAGATAGATATAGATATAGATATATAGATTATATAGATATATAGATATATAGATATATAGATATATAGATATATAGATATATAGATATATAGTATATAGATATATATGATATATAGATATATTAGATATATAGTATCTAGATATATAGATATATATATAGATTAGATTAGATATATTTATATATAGATATATATATATATATATATATATAAATATATATATATATATATATATATATATATATATATATATATATATATATATATTATATATATATATATATATATATATATATAATATATATATATATATATATATATATATATATATATATATAATATATATATATATATAATATATATATATATAATATAATATATATATATATATATATATAATATATATATATATATATATATATATATATATATATATATATATATATATATATATATAACCATTCTGAGAGAACAAACCAGAAAAAATTTAGTCCAAACTCATGTGTTACAGAAAATATTTAATTAACATGCTGGTTCAAAAATATATAAAGACGTTAGCTTGACTCGTGAATGGTTTCTCGCGTTATGTTTATTGTTTTCATTTTTGGCTTTTATAATATCAATTTCGAGAACATAGATTTTTATATCTATACTAATTGTATAGTACGTCTTATTTAAGTAACAATTCAGAGAATCAATTGCTTTTTAATATACATAGTACAAACTATTTAAATGAGCTTTGTGGGCATCCCTATTTTAAAGAAGGGCAGTAAGTCATGGAAGTAGTGTGAATGTTTACCGTACCTTCAAACTATAGCTCTTGTAGATTTTAAAATATCTTTCTACGCAACAATCTCTGCTATAGTAGACCTTTTTTTTTTTTTTTTTTTACAAAAATCACTTTTCATAATTTAAAAAAAAAAATTCAATGTTTTTTGGTCGGAACTGGGCCCCTAAACGTCCTGGCCCCCCCCCCCCCCCCGCATTGCGGGGTCTGGCGGTATGGTAGTTCCGCCCTGTATTTATGTCGCCATTACACGTGAAAAGCAAATTGGTTTTGCCTTTTTTTTATTTAGTTACCGAAAATATTAAAAACATCAAATAAATCCAATCTTTAGTAAAGTCCCCAAAAAAAACAGACAGACAGGATTTTATAACCATACGCTAGTGTATGATTTTTAAAATATTTAATGGGCCTCTCGAATACCTTTGTAACTTTACTCGCTCGCGTCCATTGGTGTTTCTTTTTTTATTTAGCCCCACTCCGTCTATCTTACGTACCATGAGATCTTTACAACTCTTGATGTCTTGGCATTGCAATCGTAACTAAGATCTTAAAGACAAAGTATACATTTGCAATGAACTATTGTGTAAAATTAATTCCACTAATCCAGAACTTCCCTCTCTGTTACAGCCCCCATATCACCCATCGCTGAAGAGGAAATCACCATCCCCAACGACGCCACCTCTCCCACTACACCAGCGACCAACTCGCCAACTTCCTCAAGTGCCTGAAGGTCGACGACAGGATAGTTGCCCACCTGCACAACAAGTCGGTCGATGGGAAAACGGTTCGCCCGACTCAAAGACTCAGAGCTGGAGAGTCTGGGCATGAAGAACCCCGTCGTCGTGTACTTCCGGGACAAGAGCAATGTCAAGGTCCAAGCGGAAGGGGAAATTCATGTTGTAGGAGTGTGTGGGTGGTGAATATCCGGGAAAAAGAGTTGTCGTTCTCATGTGTGCTTTCAGTTGTTTTATAAACTTTTTTCGAAATAGTTTGAGAACTATTCGAATTTAAATATAAAGTAAATTAAAATACAATAGAATTGTAGATGTTTTCAGGAATCATACGCAAGACAGTGTTGTTATTTTCTATTTAAATTATCGTTGTCAAAAGCTTATAATGAATATATCACAACCTTCTTATAACAATTCAGGCAGTATTCCCATCTTGACAAGTTTACCCTACAGATGAGTACTTGAATTAATGCTAAAAAATTAATATTGTTCTGTGTAATTCGTTATATAATTTTAAAATGGTCGGCTTAAGTAAACCTATTTATTTTAAATGTTATTCTAGAGGCTTTATCAGGCATGTTGTAAAGAAATTGGGGAGAAACTTGTATCTAGCCTCAATCAAAATAGATGTAAATATATAGGTTTGACTAGACTGTGTTGTTTTTGAAAATCAAACCTTTGTTATTATTTAGGAAGAATTTTGATTGTATTGATTTAAAACCTTGATCAGGATATGTGATACGTGGATGCACTAAGGTTAAGGACGGTGCTTGGGGGATTCATACATCAATATAACATTGGATATGTGATTTTGAAAAATAAATGTGTAAAGTATTTTTATTATATGATTAATACATATTGCTTATATACACGATATAGTGAACTATGAGTTTAAATATACACTTATAACATAATATTCAAATTGTTGTGATACATGCAACTGTCGATATAATTCATATTTTTACGTACGTGTGCATATGTACAAGAACTCGATTTAACTTAGCCGTTTTATTAAGGGTGAAGATAGGGTCTGTGTCAAAAGATAGGTAACTGTGTGTAGGCCTACATATATACAAAAACCCTGTTTAACATAAACTTTATGGTAAGGGTGAAGATTGCTTGAGTACCAAAAGATGTGTACATGTAGGCCTACATATATATAAGAACCTTGTTTAACTTAAAGATTTTTGTAAGAGTGAAGGGTCAATGCCAAACTATGTCTGGCTACAAGTAGGTGGAATCTTAAAGTGATGGCACCAATAATTAGCAGTCGTGGAGTTGCTGATACGCTTGCACAGAACCAGACTTTTATAACTCAATTTATTTTCGATATTAATACACCGCGAAATTTTAAATCCACCAAAGCATCATGGCGAAAACAAATCGTGGCCATATCTCTAGAAAATATTACACAACAATTGTTTTTCACCAAGTAGGCCATACTTAATATAAAAATGTAAAGGAAAACAAATCTATACAACCTTTTTGTGAATTTTTAAAAATTGGAGTTAGAACAGTCTGGTTCTAGAGGTGTCTGATGTATAAAATAAACAGGAGCCAAAATAGTAGCTACACGTCCTGGATAAGTCTGCTTGCACTGCAATTATTTCAAAAGTTTTATTTAAAAATTGTTTTGACGTCAGCAACGAAACCTATCACGTAAATGCATATTGCATTTTAACTTTGCTTTATAGTTTTTGGTAATTTTAACTTTGCTATTGGTTCAACTGAAATTCACATCAATAATACCACATAACTGTTTACATGACAGTGGAAAAAAAATATTTAAAAAAACACGAAATAATTCTTTTCTTTATTTAATTTTATTGGAATATTCCACATATTGATATATTATTTGAATGTTTTGAATGCTGGTCTGTTAAATATTCCTCCCCTTATGGGAGAGTTTAATTTAGTTTTAAATTTGTTTTAATTTAAACTTGATGGGAGAATGAACGCTGAAGTTTTGTATAGGTTTTTTTTTTTCTTCGAAAAAAGGTGAAACGTGTTTGTAAAATATTTGTTTTTGTAACTGATCACTTACCAGCATTGTTTTCAGTTGAATAAAAATGTCAAATGGTTTTTAGTTGTTGCAAGTACCCGAATGTAAGCATAGTCTTGTTGTTTTAAGCTGAATGGAAGGGGAGAGAAAGGGAGGGGAGTGAGTTTTAATTGTTTTGATGCGAAATTCTGTTTATTGACAAGCTGAGGTTAGTTAAGACCAGCACAATGTTAAGTTGGATGAAAGACGTCATTTGTAAATGATACAAATGCGAAAATCTCGAGTTAAATACCTCGAGCTCACCCAGCTCTGATGGGTACCTGGCACAAGTTAGGACATGGCCGTTTGAACACCTGCAGATTTCTAAGGAAACGTGAATTCAAGTTGGGTTACTTTTCTATCACCGAGAGAAATTGGGAGATCTTTATAAAATGAAACGAAAAAGATGACTACATCTGATGTAATACTAAATCTAAGTTTTAAAAAAAAAAAATCTGTTCAACAAAATCTGAAACACGAAATCTGAAAGCTTGTCAAAATAGGTTTGAAAAGCTGGTTCCTAATATTTCCAAAATTGTGTTGCCAGAAAGCATAATTTTCAACCAAATTGAATATTTCATAACATTTGTATAACAAGTCCAAAATGACATCCGGTTTTATTAAGGCTAAAAATAGTCAAACAAATAATTACTAGTAAAAAAAAAAGTAATTTAGCAAACAGTTTTATTTTAAATTTGGATTAGTAGAGTCAGTGTGTTATGGTGATAGGGGATGTTATATTATTTAATATAAATACAAGACTACGCCATACAACATAGACCACTATTGTGTATTTTATCATAGAAAAAATTGTTCTGGCCTTTATCGTTTTACTCTCCCTGGCCTTCGGCTCACTTGAGGTTGAGGGCGGTTTTTTAAAAATATTTGAATTGATAAAATAATTCTAAACGGCTTATATTCAATACAATAAATATAAAAATAAGTGTAATCAATGATTCCCAAACAACTTTAATTTTTTAAAATGTAACTATAATTTTTCGCTTGCTATATTTTTAAAAAAAAAATTTCTTAAAAAAATTATTTAGAGTACATAACCTTTTCAAGGATATTAGAAAGTCAATGTGAAATCTAAAATACATAATGATATCTAAAATAAAAACGAAACAATCTATACAAAAATATAAGAAAAACTAAGATCAAACGCAACCCGAGAGACAAATTTAATCTGAAATAAATAAGACAAACGTAAAATATGAAACGCAAAACAAAACCTAAAAAATAAGATGAGTAAACCTAAGCTACAAAAGGGTAATTACTACTACATAAGCAATATTTTAAAATAATTACTTTGTTATCTCCCATAAAAGGATGCTGAAAAACTAAAACAAATAACGCAGAAATGATCTCCCCTAAAATTTCTTGTGTATTTTTAGCGCAATTTCCTTACAGGAATTGCGATTATTAACTCGACATTTCTGGATGGATAGATGGATGGATGTGCGCAGCTTTGAGTCGTATCTTCTCCTCAACGAAGCAATATCGAGGACTAGTTCCAAAGCAAATATGTTAAGCAAGTTCCGAGGATGATTGTGGGCCAAAAAAATTCCCGGAATTCCTTCCTGGATTTCCAGGAAAAGCCAAAAAAAACTCGAAAAAATGCAGTTTTTTGCCCATATCTCGGCAACCAGACCACTTAGCGACTTGAAACATTTACCAATCGATTCCTGTCATAATTTAGAACAATATTGCCGAAGAAAGTTTTCAAAAATATCCTTTTGTTCGGTCACAAAAAATTAATCAAGAACATTTAAAACTGAGCATCGTGTAGGCCTAGGATGATATTTCCTTTTTAAACTGAGCATCGTGTAGGCCTACTCTTTAAAATAAAACTATTTCCGTTGATATAGGTTAATATAGTTGTATTTTTTTAGCGCAAAATTAACTTGTTTACTTATTAATTTAAACGTTATTTTTGTACCCTATTAATTTATTTATAATTAATATGAGAGTGATAGGGAGTTACAATTACAAGGTTTTGTTTTGCTAGGCCTAATCATTATTTCACATTTTTTAAAAACAAACTTGTTCACTATCTATTTTTAGATAACATAAGGAAATTGCGCTTAAATTGTCACTAGACTTTTTATTAACTTGTTTTTTATTTCATCGTGTAGAAAAAGAATTGCGCACCAAATGAACGATAACAATAAATGTATAATAAAACAGATACTTGGCGTTTCATCGAGGACTTTTCAAAGGTTAATCTATATACTACTAAAAGTCAAGTTTGTTTACATGTTTGAATATTTATTTGTTTGCCTGATCGAAAATTGTGATATGTTCGACTCTATCTGGAAAGCTGTAAAATGGTATGCAGGTAGAGAATAATTTTTTAATGCAGACAGACTGTTGATCACAAATTTATTTAAAGACGTTAATTAATTTATTGATTTATTCCTACGCAGAATAACCCATTTTTTTTTAAAATGTTAAAACCTTGACTAAACTTTGTGGGAATAGTGACGTCACAGGTTTTTGTTTACTCTTTAGTACAATAAAATGGCGGCGTCTATTGAAGAAAATTGTGTTCCCATTCAAAAGTTTAACGCGTTCTAAATCTAATTTTCTGTCGGTCATAACTTTAACAATACGTCCGTTTGCTGTATTTATTACGTTCCAACACTTATATCAATTTTCAACTGTCTTTTTCATTTAGTTTTACGATAAATTTCTCTAGATCTAAAGATCAGCTATCGAAGGAAATTTATGAATCTAGCCTAGATCTAGATCTAGCCTAGATGTAGGTCACTAGATTCAATGTAAATTCTACATCTAGAATCTATTTCAGGCCTTAATTATTTTATATAAATCTTTGTTTGGCTTATTTAAGATAAAATTTAATTTGAAAGTTAGTACTACTAGACTTATTTTTAGATCTAGATCTAGAATCTATACGCGTAAATCAAGTTGCATAAGGAGACACATAGTATAGTATAAAAATTCACTTGTGACGTCACGAGTAAATAGCTAAAATGGTAGCGTAGTCAGCTCTCATGCAGGAGGCACGGGTTCTAGACCAATATGTCAATGAAATTTTTTTTTTCAATTTTTTTTTTTAGATGTGAATGATAACGTTGCCTATCTGAACTTGGCAAGATACAGGGCAGGTGAAGTAG